AAAAAAAAAAAAAAAATATCCTTGTTCGCAGTTTTTCAAGCTCACATGATTTAGAAAATATGCTTTCAAACAGGTCACCAAGATTTAAATAAAATCATCAATTAGAAAACTCTAAGGGTGCAGTAAAAAGATCATACATTCACGTTAACAGGATAGAAGCTATCGCATTCCATACTGTTGCAACATAAACCGCTGCACAGCCTAGTGAATTCAGTGTCCAAGCCAACAGAGAGGAAAGAAAATTAGTGATACTAGTTGATTTAAAGAATAAAATAGATAATTTATTCTGTCGGTATAGATTTTGTAGGATTGAGGCTAAAAATCATGGTAACTTAGCAGGACTTCTGAGTCAGTAGATTCTCTACCAAATTTATTGACATCCCTTGTGTAGGCAAGGAGACAGGACCAATAATATAAGTTTATAATATTAATAATATTAATAATATTAATAATAAAAAGAACTTACGAGGTAGAACACTAGATGGATACCAGCTGTAAATCCATTCATCTTCAACTTTCAAGATCCTGCCTGTTATTCTGGCATAAAACTCGTAATTTGCTCGTCCAAATAAATTACGGGCTCCAAAGTTGTCGATTAAAAATTTGGTGATCTGAGTAGCAGTCTAGTTTGGAGAGAAGAAAAAGCAGTTACAATAAAGTTAAAGTGAGCGCCTTGTTAATACAATTAATATCAGAAATACTGACTTCCTCACCTAAATTTTCAAATCCAGATCTAAAATTCAGGATTCTTTGGGACTAATTTCGATCAAAAAAGATAAAATCCAAGTTTGACTTTAAGTAAGATATTACAGTAGGACGATGCGATCTGCCGGTGAAACTGCAAAAATGCATATGTATCTTGGTTACGGTGTTTCAAAATCTCCACTCCTATTTCAATTTATAAAATGAGATCAAACCAACATCAATTAATTTTCCATGTAGAAAATAAGATATAACCAGAAGTATGCAAACCAAGATACCCATTTCTGCAGCTTTACTCTCATAATACTGGTCATTATGTCATTATGCCATTATGCAATCATTATTGGTAATCAAAATGCGAAACCGCATACCTCAATTGCGATATTTCAAAATTTTCACTCCCTTTTTTATTCTTTCTACAAGAATCAAGCCAACTTAACAGCTTGATATTTATACAGAATATTCTGTTAACAGAGAGGAAAAATTAAGGAAGTCTTTAAGAAATTACACTGACTAGTTATCCAAAGAAAAAATGAAATATGATAGGAAATCTGTAATGTCACAAATGGAGATAACTGATTTCACACTTTGACCATTAATATGTTACTATCTAATACTGATAATAAACACCCTGTTAAAATGAACTGACAATCCAATAAAAAACTACGTTTTCTCTAACATCTCTCATTAACTGAATATACCTTTATTAGACTTGAAAATTTTGAAGAGTACCTACTTGTGCCCTTCCAATGCAATTAATGGGTAAAAGATGGAGATAACAGATGTGGAGCAATTTTTATGAGGAGCTTGTAAGATTTAACTGAAAAGAACTTCTTTTGGTATTTTTTGCTAAAGAGCAAACTAGTTTCAGTTGGACAACGTTAGTTTTTTGACCGGTATTCCTGAGAATTCAGCTTGAAACTGAAATTCTTATTTGAGAGAGAAAAAACTCATGCAGGCAAAGTATCTCTTAGGGAGATGTGCTGTTTGGTACAACACTAGTTACGACCCATCAGGAAGGCAACTGCAGACATGCTCCGGGTCTCAGTTGATTTTAAAATAGCTTCCTCTTGGTTCTGCCTGAGATGGAGAATTTATGGTTTCTACTAAAAATAAAAATAGAAAATCTGTTAATTGAGACTTACTTTGAACCGTAACACATCCTCCATCTTGGCAGTTTTTCCATCACTGACGCAGGTTTGGAAGAAACTAGGTGCGACTGACACCCCGAGAGCTTCTGAGGTCATACCGGTTTGAGCACGCTCAGAATTAATTGCGATCACACGGAATGTACCGAAGAGTAGAACTAAAAGTCTTTGAGTATACGGGGGCAGCGATGTAATTAATCTAAAAAATATAAAAACCCTCCAGTGAGATTATGATTTTGTACTTGCAGGTGGAGACTTAGAATTTTGTCACAACCTGGAAGCTGTTTCCAATTCTACGATTAGAAATAGTGGCGACTACAGAGTGCGGAAAATTAAGATCACTGAGCTACAGATGTTTATAAAAATAAATAGAGACTTTCCTCTAGCTCCTGGGTGACAGGAGTAAATTTGTAATGGGTCGAAGATACCCATTTTTAAAATGTATTTTCTGACGGTAAGTATAAAAAGGAGTTTATGAAGCCTTCCGTAATTTTTCAGATTTGTTTAACCTTAAATGACAGAGAGAATTCGTTTAGAAAATGTCAAAAATGAGACCCGTTTGAAATAGTATTTTAGGCAGGCTCTGATGATGTAGCGAGGCATGAGAAACTGCATTAGCCGATTTGCTTAACTTAGCTTCAGGCATCACCTTGATGTGGCGACTCCAGTCTCTGCTATTGATTAGCTTTTTCTCCTCTTACGATGCTTTCGTTAAAATCATTATGAGCAGTTCCGTTTTTTTACAAAATTTTGCATGAAAGAAACTGAATTCAAGCTTTGAAAAATTCTGAGCCACTGTCCCATTTAAACTTCACCACTCAACTCTTGGAATTATATTCTTGTTATTTGTTGGTCAATATGTTGAGCAATTTGTTTTGCAAACATGCCAATGTTTAGTAAACTTATTGGGCGCTTGATTATTACATTTCAACTGCATCAGTTCTTGGGACATTGTAGGTGCAGAGAAATAAAGTACATTTTTTACGGTGTGTTATGAAGTAATAAGGAGATATTTTTTGAAGAAGGCTTAGTATAAATACTTAATACTCAAATACAATACTTACTTGTTAATAAGCTCATTTTGTTCTTGGGGGTCTGTGACTTCCGTCACAACTGAAAACAATTTTTGTTCACCTGCACGGCCGAAGATTCCATTGGGAAGTTTTCTTAGAAATTTTTTGAGTACTGACGCTATGGTATAGACGGAGTAGTTCTCCATGTTCATCAACCGACCAGTCTGGAGGAAATGTATCAGCTGTTTCATGCTCCCTTGATGACCGGGAGCTCTGAAAACATCTTTCTTTGCAGGTGCTTCTTTGTTCAATTTCAAAATTAAAACCTGGAAAAAAAAATCAGAAACAAAATAAAATATACCTCTCATGAATTCTGCTTCACAGAATTAACATGTGATGATCCATTGACAAAGGGGCCTTAGTTAAAGACGCAAAAATTTTAGTGGAGCAGTTCTCGTTGAGTTGGATTAAAAACTTGGGTTTTGAGATTACGATGGAAACCACTCTCTATAGAGATGACTTGATGATTCTGCGTAACAGAAATAATAGGTATCGCCATCTCTAGCAGGGGTGCAGAATGTGTTGAGGAGCACGAACAGTGGTAATCTCAGTCTTGAAATATCCCCATTCTTGTAAAATACTTTCATCATTCTGCAATGTGCGTTAAAAGTGCACAATGAGCTAAGAAATTAAGAAAGTCTGAGTGCTAATCCGTTTCCTCTCATTTTTGGCTGAGTAGAGGGGGGGGGGGTTATAATTTTTTAACCCAAATTTTCTAGTTTATTCTTCAATGTTGCTAAGCCTTGCGCTAATGGGGGCTGATTCACTCCAGTAGTATTTTCAACAATCCCAGACTAAGAGCTAGGAATTTTGTATTACTTTATTTTTCAGTGGGAATGCTGCCAGAGATTCATTCTTAAATACCAATAAAATGGATAGAAAGTTCACTATTTAGAAACAATCTGATAGTAACACTTGGTGATGGCAAGTTATATCAGGAGTCTTCTTGCGTTCAGAAAATCTTAAAGAACTGGATCAAAAATTTAAAAAAAAACACGAAGGTGGCAAAATTGCGATTTTTCCTGTACCTTCGATTTTTTGACATGGCATAATTCAACAAAACCAGGAAAAGCATCATCACCTTTTAAGGAAAGGCTATAAAATTAATGGCATGGAAAATTCCTGGGTTCTACTAAATAATACTTACTAAAAGGGGGCCAGGAATGTCGTTCTTGCATACTTCGTCTAGGGATACACCAAATTTCACCCTGGAAATAAAACAAAACAACACATTAAAGCATGAAATTCAAGGACATAAAATACAATCTAGACTGCACATACAGCTCTTTGGATGAGACAATAGGAAGTAAACCTGGATTGCATGTAGCACCAGAAAATTAGTCACATCAGCTATGGCTATCTGGATGAGAGAATGGGAGTCATTCATATGAGCTGAGAATGGCACTTAGTGCTTTGTGATTTTCAAGAATAAGGTTCAGTTACACGATCAAATTGTTCCATAAAAACTGAAGCTCTGATTGGTGGAAAAAGACCTGAGGTGAGGATGCGACCAATGAGAGGCCCAATTTGATGGCTCAATTTGATCGTGTAACTGAACCATTACACCAGTTGTACACTTCACATGGTGGCGTTTTTTTACCCCCCAAGCCGACTTTCTTACCTCTCCCGGAGTAAGCCAAGCCTTGTATGCAGTCAATGAAAGTCATTGAAAGTTAATGATGAAACTTCTCACTACAGCATGAAATTGCAGATCAGGAGAGTTTTGAACTATCTAAAAATTATCCCACCAGAGGCAAGGAGATCCTTCCAGAACAGATCAAATTAGTACTGACAATTCTTTGGGTATGTATTTAGTAAAAAAAAATTCCATTCACAAATGTGAGAAAATCCGAATATTTTCATTTTGCAACAGAATATGGGTATTACCTAAAATGAAACTAGACAAAATATTGTAATTTTGAGGAATAACAAGATTGGAATTGATTGAATTGGCACATTTTTTTGAGTTTATGAACCAAAAATTTTGCAATTGAGTTACACCAAACTTTTCAATGAAATAATGTAAAATTTTTCACTTTTTTATGAGGTTTTTCAAGAAGAGTAGCAAATAAGTTTAAAAGTGAGAACATCCAGGATTTCATTGCTAAAAACAAATGTCGCAATTTGAACGTAAAGAACAAGTGTTGAAATTCGAACCCTGAAACTCTCAACTTACAAGAATTCGGCTTCAGTTATCCCTTTGCTACATCAACTCTAATGTCGGCTTCTGATTGGTCAGATTGTGAGTAGCGTTTTTTCACCTCGGTGCGATTTCTTTAACTTTCTAATGAGGCTTCTGGTTTTTTCACAAAATTTTCTTTTAGACTAACAACCCAGAGATCATACAGAAATTCCTTGTTACTGCTCTATTAAAAGTTCTTCTGAAGGTTTGAATCATTCATTTTACCCGATAAAGAATAATAAGATAAAAAAAGAACTTACTTTTCCAGTTGATACGGATATAAAACAGTTGATGGATGAGTGCATGCTGTGACAACATTACTGAGGGTTGCGGCTCTTCTTTGCATTCTTCCCTTCTATCTGGTCATCCTACGACCTCCTTCCAATAATTTAAACTATCACTTGACGTTCCTCATTCCCTGTTGGAGCAGAGACAGAAAATGTGAGGTGTTATCCATAAGGATAATAGGCACTGCATGATATCAATTAAAGAACTTTAAAATTCAGCATGGTAATTGTGAAAACTAGGAAAATTCCGGAAACTGATACTATCTGATTAAGAGATCCTTGCTTGTTGCTAAGTCAAAGTAGGTTTACTACAAAAAGTCACCCTCCAAACTATATTGATTTGCCTGTTGTAGGCATTTAAAATGAGTTTACTGCAAAAAATGAGGAAAAATCAAGAGAAGACGTTCAAATTAGATCTACATTTGCCGCCATGAGTTCCCGTGATTATTTACACACTCACACAAGCACAGAGCGCCGAGGCAGCTTCACTTCTCTCCTGTATTACTAGATACGAGTGCTCCGTCTTTTCGTCTTTGTTTTGAACAGAGAATTTGAAGACAAAGATTAGGCGAAAAGGATTAAAGTAGTTGAGCTTCCATTTTGTAACGAGCAAGAGGATTCTTAAATGTGAAATGAACATCTTAGGATTCAGTTTGCAGAAGTACAGCTGTTCATAGGAACTTTGGTTTTTAATTTTAATAGGTTATAATAAATAATGTTTAAGTATATTGATTGATCTGCGGCAAAGATTACGAAAGTCCGGGATTCCTACTTTACTGCAGAGGCAATAATAGTTATTGATACTTTCCCTCAGATGGCTTTAGAGAAGGTTGTGCGTTGTCATTTGACACTGAATCAATGAGATATCAGATAGGGCTGATATTACAGATTCCAGTCAAAAGCACCCAGTCTGAAAACTCTCTTTTCTTTTCCCTTAGAACCAGTTCAAACAAAGTAAAGAAAAAATTTCATTGGTGAATCCAAGTAAGTACGAACTGTGTTGGATCAGTTCACAATGTCCAAAGGTCAATACTCTGATGCAGTAGTACTACGTTCAATTGACTGTATGATTAAAAACATTCCGCAAGTACTTGATGATAAGCAGCATACGTAACGGTAAAAAATGTCTGGATAAAAGCTCTAATGGGTGCAGTGACAAAAGTGATGGAGATATTAAGTATCACTGACTGGATATCATCAGAAAGCAAGTTCCCTGCTCGGATGTGAACGTTTCTTTTCAATCATCCGCAACATTTTTCTGGCTGCTCCACAGTCAATCATCAAATGGTGCATCATAGTGATACAGGACAAAAAATTTATCCTTCAAGCGTCCATAAATCCAAGTTGGACACACTAGATCATAGTATTACAAGTTATCGAACCGTGACCTGATAATGGAAACCAAAATGCCTGTTCCTGGAAGAAAAGGGATGTTTGGGCTACCTAGGAGACCTAAGTGTCAATGATCAGGACTTAAAGAATGACACAAAGTAGCTAAACCTCAGACAATTGTGGCTAAATCAACATGATTGACAGCTCGTGGAAGATATGGGTTGATGAATACTTGACACGGATACATACATTTAGGGCTTCCAGCAAAATAAAGGAGCAGGCTGTCACTCAAAGTTCGACATCCAAGAAAAAGGATGCCTTGCAAATAAGTTAGCACTGCTGAGAGCGGCCGAATATTGGCCAACGAAAAGGAGATAGAACATCATTCGTAAATCCTGAGTGTTTACAAAAATATGGGGTGAAGGCATAAACCACAGGCTTAACCTTACAAGGTGTCACTTACCATTTACTCCTGATGGCTCATTGAACACTGGTATAATATCACTGAACGAAGTAATGAGTATTGAAATAAAATTCTATCATTCTAAACACTTGTCTGAGTTAATATTCATCACACATCAACGAAGCTTTACCGAGTGCATTGAGTTTCTATGCCAGGCTTCCTATCTACAGAACAGAAGGATGTTTGGGAAATCGGGACAGGGAGGCACCCAAACCGTGAGGAACCCAACCGTAAATTCAGCATATAATGTGATGAATTGGCAACAGCGCCCATAAGTGCACCCGCGCACTCCGCGCACCCAACGCAAGTCGCGTCAACTGCCGTGTACGTGCGAGGAATTTTTGATTATCTGATTCTCAAGTCCGGCGGTTCGTAAATTCCAATGAATGATTGTGCGGCCGAACTGGTCGCACTCGTAATGTACAGAAGCGACTTGAAATTCAAAGGGTGCCGATTACGGCTTGCCGGCCCAGAATCAGCACGGTATTTGACATTGCCGAACCTGCGCCTTCCGAATTTTTGTCCCGAGCATCGTTACTGCTGTAGAGAATTTTGCCTACCCGTAAACTGAAGGAACCTAGGTATATGATAGATACATTTTTACGAAGCAGCCCGAGACAATGCGACGGTGTAAGTCGGCAATCACATAACTCGATTGCGGTGTCCGAAAATCTCCGCATCTATGTTATTTTTTTAAAGGAGAACAAATTGACTTCATTCCTTGAAGTTTTTGCAGAATTTTCTTGGCACAGAGAAGAAAGATCACGGCAGTTTTCAGGGACGGATTTACCTACATGCCGCCCATGGGCCGCCTGTATTTTGCCACCCCTTTCTTATTCGTTTTGAAACATTAATAAAACCATCAAAAGAACGTGTCCGAGGGGGAGAGTTGCATAAGACGCGTTCACTTGTGTTGGACACATTTTTTGCGAAAGCCCTGTCATCACTACTAGCAAAAGTTCACGGAACTTTGCGCGAAAGTTAAGTTCCGTAATCCTATCTCTGTGTGAACAAGGCCTTCCATACATTAAAAAATGAACGAAAAAATTATGGAAGAACAAACATAAATGAGGTATAATAATTTTAACTTCCGCCGCGCCGCGCTGACTGCTCTGTTTGGCGGAATGCGTGAAGTATTCCTACAGTCTTGTAGGCGCTTTGCTCTTCACGCCGACCGCTGCTGAGCGCACTGTTTCTGACGCAATGCGTGAAGTATTCATGGAGTCATGTAGGCACTAATATGTGTTACATGCCAACCGCCGCACCAAGGGAAGGGAGAACCGGAGAACTACGGACGGTACGGAAACTAAATCCTTTAATTACGTGACTCCCTAGGGGGGAGGGGGGCGAGGAGAGCGTTACGCTAAGTGTTAAAGGATATGGGGCCTACGTCATAAAAACGTAATATAGGGGTGGGGGTGGGGGGAAAAATGCTGAAAAAGTGCGTTTCGTAATCTGGGGACAGCCCCCGAGTTGAAATTTCGATAAAATTTGAGTCACGTTAAAATATGCGTTTTTTTTGTTTTTGTTTTTTTTAAATATTTTTTTATTATAATTTTTCCTTCAGTAACTGTATTTAAACAAAGAAGGAAGACAGCCAATAAAAATACGTATAGAACGTGAAAGTTCCTGAGGAGCCGTTCATCGATGACGTCACGTCAAAATTCGGAATTTTAACCCCACCCCCCACACACCCCCTCCTCACACACCCTAATTTGGAGGGGGTCAAAATTTTCTCATTAACATATTTCCCCTCCTTGAAGTTTGCCAGGTTTCTTCATAATTGTAATTTTATTTTACATGTCTCGGAAAGGAAGAGCATTTACATTGCTCGTCAATTTCAGGAGCGCATGTAATAATGCGAAATTTGGACGAACTTCATGGAACTGAAAAATTGATAATTTGCATCAATTTAATGGAAAAAGTGAGCGGAAAAGTGAGGAGTAGGCAAACTTGCGGACAGTTTTGGACGTGGCAAGTTCTGGTTGGCTAGCAGCAAGTACGGTAATACGAACGCGTTTAGTTTCTTTCGTGTGGGCAACACTGTCTTCTATCAAGGTCACTCTACATGCCGCTTCTCATGGCACGTTTACCGTTCGAAAGGACTAACAATTTTTCTCCGTTGTCTACGATTTAAGCCTGAATGAAAACTTGTGTAAAAGCCACATCAGTCGGACAAATTTCTGCTCATTGGCTTCGGAAAATCGCCCCACATGGGGTCCTGAAACTTTTTCGCGCCATCTATACGGTATTACCGTAATCGACCACAACAAGTTGTACGGTCAGCATCACTGCTGTAGAACCTGTACATTGTTGTCGTCTCTGTAAATTTAGAAGGATGGACTTTTATATTGTCTTTTTTGGACAATTTTTTGTGTAAATTAATCAATCAATCGTTGTGAAAATTCAGCACTCGACATTAGAGTCAGCAATTTGTAGCTCCAAAACTGCCCTTGCTTCAGGTATAAGAGTGAGCCTTCGCTGCTCAATATCTAGTGATCCATAATAAAAAAGTCGGACTTTGTTTTGTAGGGGATTAATTTTGAAAATCCTCAATTAGGCATCAGTGCGCTGTCCTTCTAGGAAGTTTCGTGAAGTTGGTAAAAGACTTTGTTTAGTATTTTGTGCCTAATTTCGATTGTCGTTATTCCGTCTGATTTTGTTCAAGTCGGCGAACTTAACACGCTTTTCCTCTTGAAGTAAGTTGTCTACGATTTCAGTATCTCTCAACGTGATTTCAGACCGTTGTTTGTGATCTCATCTAGTTTTCCTGACTCTACTTAGTTACTTTCAGACTTGCTCGAGGCCGCCAACACGAAGGCCCGCCTTTCGAAATCGCGCAATTTTTCACCGCTACGAAGTTGTTCATTTTATCGAGTGATTCTGTTTGTGACCGAAGTTCACTGAGGAGTTACTTTCACCCGGAGCAACAAATTTCATTATCTAATTCTTCCATCAGTAGATGCAAGTCCTCCTTGCATATCCAAGACTTGGTGTGTCCAATGCTTACCACCTAACCTTCACCCATGTCAACTGATTTCTCAAAGATCTTACTCTGAAGTAGCTCTGTACTGATTAAACTATAGGTAATTCTTCGTGGAACTCTCATATGAGTACTGTCTCTGGTCCCGGAGAAGTGCTGTTGTCACTGATGGGATGTTAGGTCACTATTGTTGCTCATCAGCACTTTGATGGCAGCATTTTGCGTCTGGCGGTACGAAGGGTCAAAGTTGAAATTTGATGTCTTAGTCTGTTTTCTCCAACTTGATGGTGCACCCAAACAAATTCAAAATGATCAGGGGTGGAGATTTTGAGAGTTAGCAGTTAGCTGTTAATAGACGGCTATACGATCATACTTGTATTCAACTCCTATGTTTCAAAATTCCCCGCACGATTTGTACGTAGAAGCAAATCTAGGTAGAGGTGTCGTCAGCTAAGTTGACGGTTGTTTACTTTCAGTTTGCAGGCGTTTTCACGTCATTTCTATCCACATGAAACATCAGACTCTCTCAGAAGCAAGAACACAAGCTTAGATAAGTTTTTTAAAACTTTCAAACCCTGTAACACTCAAATTTTTAGCCACACAGTAATCACAATCACAAAAAAGTCGCAAATCATAACTGATAAGTAGTTTTTTCAAGATATGATCATGAGACTGATGTTGTCAATGTGGATAGTAGCGAACGCCACTTTGTTTAGAGGCCCAAATTCGTCGTGGGCGCTTGCAAACCGAAAGTAAGCAACCGTCAACTTAGCTGACGACACCTCTAATCATTTTAGCTTAGAATTTTTCTAATCCTTTTTTCATTGGTCATCGCCTTCTTTGTTTACAAAATAATTGACATTCCTTTATATCTTTGAGCTGCAAAATTGACCTGTTTTTCCTCTGAACAGTGTAGCTTGGACAGAAATTTTGAAACACTGCAAGCATCCAGTTAGAACCTTCGTCAAGTGAGTTGGCAGTCGCTTACCTTCTGTTTGCAAGTGACTGCACCACTGTTGTCTAGTAGTGATTGAGGATTGACCGCGGGCGATGCTGCCACTGTGGTTTAAGGTTTCTTTTTGTCTCTTTAATTGCGGAAAACTCCTTTCTGTAGCTATGCCACCTCTCACTGTTTAACTAGGTTTTGTTCTATTTTTCAGGTCTTAAATTTGAGGAAAGATGTCCGGAATCGCATCTGCTCGGTTAGCTGAAGAAAGGAAAGGCTGGCGGAAAGACCATCCTTTTGTAAGTTTGCCCTAGATTACAATTTTTTGCTACCATACTTAATTCCTAACAATTTACCATCAATTTGCTTCCTTCCCTCCAATAGAGGATCTAGTCTTCATAGACGAATTGTCCCTTAGGACCCAAAAATTTGAATGGATGTGTGCCTCTCCATTATTTTAGATCCAGATAAAGACGAAAACAATTTCTTTTATTTCCATTTGTGAGAAATGACTATCATATGTTGCTTTCCTGTAATGTAGCACTAATGGTGTTTCTATGCATTAGGGAGGGAGAACCTCACTGTTGCAGGGTGCCAAGCAAAGGATTTCAGGTGCGAAAAATAATTAATTCTGTCGAAGTATTTGTACTGATTCCAACTCCTTAAGTACATATTTATTACAATAATTTTGAGCATGCCTTTTGTGATGACTGATCTTGGTCTTAATAAATTTCACTTCAGAATAAAGTGTTTGAACAAGCAATTACCATCATGTCCTGTTGAGAAGATAAAAATGCAAATTTGAGTCAACAGTACCTAGCATTTTTCTCCGAAACCCTCTGATGATTATGTCAATCTCATCTGTAAATGTTTTGTCTTTTCAGGGATTCGTTGCAAGGCCCTCAAGAAACCCAGATGGCTCTCTTAACCTCATGAACTGGGAATGTGCTATCCCTGGAAAGAAAGGGGTAAGTAAGTTTGTTCCATGGTTTCTAACTCAACTTGAACAGAATGAGCATTTCTCATCAGAAAAGTTGTAGTATGCCATCAATTTTGTCCTCAGATGTGGAGGTTGGTCAACCAGCTGAGATGGAAACTTTCATGAAAAATTTTAACTTTCCTGTGAAATTTGAATGGTTTATAAAAAAATTGAAATTGAACGATATTTGTTTTGTAATATATGAAATCATTGAAATTTAATGTAAAATTTCAAGGTCATTCTCAGCCAACCAGGTTATCACCATTGGGTTAAAAGGTAAGCTTCTTTTGAAAATCTACCAATGATGGGTCATAATGATGCCAAGAATGCTGTATCTATTTTGCGTGCAACAGACTCATTGAGCGCAATGTTAATTTTTCATAAATTTTTTTGATCAGTGTAACTGAGAAAGAGAAGTATTTGAACCCTCAAGTAATTAGGGTAAATCAAGCAGCCAAGAAAACTTCTGACACATTATCTCTCTCCAAAAACCAATTTTTTCAATCATTCTGATCTCTTTTATTAAGGTTCATAATTTCTCTTGTAATTACAGACCCCATGGGAAGGTGGCTCGTACAAAATCCGTATGATCTTCAAGGAAGATTACCCATCAACGCCTCCCAAGTGTAAATTTGAGCCTCCGCTCTTCCATCCTAATGTATACCCATCAGGTAAAATTTCACTTTTCTTTCTGGTTTAAATTTCTGTAAAGAAAAAATTCTTAAAGAATTGTTTATGTGTAATCTTCGTGCAAGTATTCAACGGCAACAGAACTCTAGTTTTCATCACATTTGTGTTATGACTACTAGAGGACTTGTTCCCTGCTTCTTATTATTTCAATCCAAAAGTTTCATTCACATTATTTTTGAAAAGGGCTGTAAATATCCTATGTATTAATATCTAATGGGCCTCCAGACAAAGTTGAAATTAGCAGACTGGCAGAATTATGGAAAGTGGAACAAAGTGTTTCGGGAAACAGAGGTCTTGGCGTACGATTATTTGATTGGCAAAATTCTCAGTTAATTGATAGGAATAATGTATATGAAAGGGAAGGAGTAAGAGGGGATGAATTGCTTTGCATCATTCCTAAGTTTCCTCCGACAATCTATTCTAGTACTCATGAACAGATGATCACTTTTTTTCATATTTGTCAAGAATTATCCTGTTGATTTTATGAAAATTCCTTAAAGTTTTCATTGTAAATCATGCTCTTGTAATCGAATATGGAAATAAGTTGCTAGTGGCAGGGGTGCCGAAACCTCCAAGGGTTTCCCTAAAGTAAATTTAGGCTCCCCTATTTTAAGTTTTCGCAGAATTTTGCCCGACACACGAAGTAACGCGGTCCACAATTGGGTTCCCTTAAAACAGCGCGCTTGACAGTTAGATTCCCTCAAAGTAGCGCCCATAACAGTCAAGTTCCCCCTAACCCCTTAAAAAAAACACCTCCCAAGATTCCCCCAATTTTTTCGTCCTCAAATGGTTTCCCCCATTTCATGCGAACAGCCAGTCGCATGGTTGGGAAGTTTCTGCACCCCTGGCTACGGGAAACTTTGAAATATTTCTTTGCAACTGAGCCGCTCTAATGCTCACTTTCTCTACCAATCAGCACTTGGTTTTTCATTCATGAATGATTGACACTTAACTGTCATAAAAGATTGCCATGTATCATTACAGAGAGTGCACGACCATGCTAGACCAGTTGGATTTTTGTACATCTGAAAGAACAGGAAAATTTGTTTCCCTTAGAAAGTTATTTCACCCTACTTTGAAAGTAATTTCTCATTTCTTTGCCTTTCAATTTCAGGCACTGTGTGCTTGTCCTTATTAGATGAAGAAAAAGATTGGAGACCGGCAATTACGATTAAGCAGATTTTACTTGGTATTCAAGATCTTCTGAATGAGCCAAACATCAAAGATCCTGCACAAGCTGAAGCATATACAATTTACTGGTAAGGTTCTTTGCAATAAATTTTCAAAAATTGTTTTACAGATCTTCGAGTTTGTGAGGAACATCAAGATCCAAATCCTACAAGTACAAATGATACTACTCAGGGAGCAGGACTTGATAGGGTTTGAAGGTCAAATTACCTGGTGGCTCTTTGATGTAACAGTGAATATGTAGTCCACAAGTGCAAGTATCTTTTCATCATAATCTCCTGGGAAAGTAGCCCTCAGCCGGAACTTCGCAGAAAAGCAGGGATTGGGAGGCGAGTTTGTGGGCGAACTGGATGGTAAGAGCAATCTCATGTCGGAGAATCTGGGTGCGCACCTGCTTGTCGCAGTCTATCTTTCGCGTAAGCCCGTTATTAGTCTCTGACCAGCAAGTCTACTCTTCCAGTTAGTCCATTGGTAGACTCACAGTAGCTACAGACTTTTGGTGAGAGTCTGGGTCTGGTCTCAAAGACACCAGAGACTCACAATGGCAGGTCTGTTTGGCCGCCAAATTCGGCTGCTTTCCCATTGGAAAGGAAGTGAGCATCGGGGATGTTGCGGGGAAGGCAGAGGTTACGGGCAGGGCATGGGTACCGAGCAGGTTGTGAGATATACATACCTGTGGTTTACAGCGAGAACTGGAATTATTTTGTATAAGTTGAGATAAAGTAAAATAATTATTAGACCTAAAAGCATAACACTCAATGTGTGCAAGTCCTCTGTAAAGCAGCCAAAGGCGGTAGAACAATCGGTCAAAGGAAATTCGATCCTGTTCCTGTCAAGGATTGCCACACCACCTTCTGTCTTCAACTTTAGGATCCTTAAGTGCCAGGTCTTTAAATACACATCTTTTTAAAGTATTTCCTCTCTGTTTACCTCAATGTTATCTTGCCATGCTGTATTTTAGTATTGATCAGTCGGTTTGTTTGTTTGCAGTCAAAACAGATTAGAATACGAGAAACGAGTACGAGCCCAAGCAAGAGCGATGACTCCACAAGAGTAAATTTGCAACGCTGGTGCAACTGGGTGTCTCGTCCTTCATTTCAAAGAGTTATCACCTGGAAAGTGTTATCGTCTGATCTTCAGTTGAGAAGGAAGCTGTTAATTTTGTATAAACTTGTTTAGGTTAAAATATTATTAATTGTAATTAATCAGATTTATTTCCATAATGGTCGGCCCTGATTTTTTAAAAGATGTGATCTTCATTTCTATCTCATGTTTCTGTGATTTTTCTATAGTTCAGTGTATTCCTTCACATTTTCTGCTGACCGCCACTTTTAAGTCTCACAGAATGAGATTGATGATTCCCGAGATTCTCTTGGTCTTGTCAGGAAAGAGGTATGTGAGGCGACTAGTATCATAACTTGCAATCTCCACCTCGGAGTCGAAAAATTTGGCAATCATTTTAATTTATTATAAAGAGAGCAGGTGAGTTTTTTGTTTGCTTACTTTTTCAAAAGTGTCTACATGTTAGCAAAAAAATTATAACAGTATTCAATGCAAGGAGACTTATTGATTGCTCCTTCCACCAAATTTTAAGACTGAAAGGAGATTGCAGGTTTTGGTACTATGCGCGTCATATTTTACTCCCTTAAAACTATTTTTCGGGCTCATAAATCACCATGGAAGTGCGTGTTGTGAACATCCTTGGATATTTTTTGTGAATTTACATCAAACCAAATTGAATCTTTCTGCTTGTAAAGAAACCTGTTCATGACTAATCATGGATATTTATCGACCAGCTAAAGTATGCTTTATATTCAATCAAGGACCAGCCTCAACTGATCTGTAAATCAATGTTGCTGGAGGCAATCTGGAAGCTTTAACACTGATCGCTTAAATACGAGCTTCGGCATAATCTATCTTTGACTGAGCTCTACAAACGCACGGTGATATCCTATCAAGTAAAGTTATTACAAATACCTATACAAGCAAGTAATTTTACTTTTGTATGCGTTTGTTTATGTCCGTAACTCCATGAAAATCAAAACTGCTTCTTATTCGTACGTTTGAAAGATTAGATGTGAAGTAAACGCCGAAAATTCATCCATTGTCCTACTTTCAGCATCAGCACCTTGGGAGTTCATCAGGCTGATCCCCTTCAGCCCTTAATTAGGCCGTGCAGCATTTCTAAGAATAGGAACTGGCCCTCTCTTGATATATCCCGTGATTTGAGTTCAACTGTCTGTTAATTGACCCAAGCTCTGATAAGCCCGTCTCCAGTAACCTGTTTGTCTAGTTAGATAGGGAAGCTACATACAGTAAAATCTTTTCAGGTTTACGCTTTGCACATGAAGTTGTTCAGAAAGAATGTGAAAGGTCTTGTCCACATGAGCGCAGTTTGGACGACTTAGTTCCGCAAACTAGGAGTTCCATGAAAAAGTTATAGGTGAATTGTAACAAGTTTGCCTGAAGTTCCACGAACCGCGCTTGTGTGGACAAGGCCTCAGGTTTCGGAAAGGCCGCCTGGAATTAGCCGGAGTGAGCTTCTTCACTCCGCATCCAGAGGACATTTTAAGATCTGATGTCCAGAAATATGGTTTCAAATAGAGGGGAAGTTGAAATCCAGCAGCTTTTTTGTGTAAATATTTTATTACTTCAGATCTAACTGTGTGCACTTGTTGCTGATTAACATCAAAATCAGCATTTTGTTAAATGTCTGCTTGAAATACGTTCTTTCCTCATAGGTTGCGTTTTTCTATAATTTTTTAAATGATAACTCAGCAGATTTCCATTTTACCCTATTTAATACATAATTTTCTATCTCTTTATCATTTTCTAAAGTGAAGAGTATTTATAACTTCACAAAATACTCCTTACCATCAAAATACATGTTTTTTCAAGAATAAATGAAAAGTAAAGTCAGTGTAGTTATACCATAATTTTAAAGCCTTTATTACCCTCATTACGAGAGCAAGGTCTACTCACAGAAGTGCGAAGACGTTCTGTCTCATACTTAAAGAGGAACTAATGACTACCTGCCTAAGCATTTTTTCTGCCTATTTGATGAATGCCTCTCAATTTTTGCCTGGGATGTATTGATTGTATCAACCCATTTTAATGATGACCGTCGACAAATTTTAATCTGTATAGGTGAAGAAAGATTAGAGAAACAAAAACTTCAGCTAATTTTTTTTTTTTTAAACTGTTTTGAATTGATATTGAAAAAAGTCAAGATGCCTAAGTCAGTGAAACTGCCAACAAAAGTTTTGTAAAAGTGCTTCTCCTGAAGACACGAAGTATTGCTTCTATGTATTTTCAATTAAAAAAGGGAATTTGACTCTTGTCTTTTTCTTACAAAAAAAATGTAAGGAATGAATATAGTAAGTCTTATAACATCAGGCTATAATCTGCTCTGTCTCAGTATTTCTACAGATGTTTTATTTCTTTGTGAGAGAACTGTCACATTGATCTGTCGGAAAATTCAGTGTCTCTCTGAAGTGTATAAAAATCCCTGAAAATATCAGGTAAATTTATGCGTCAGTTCTCCAATATAAAAATATAATGTCAGTTAGTGAAACTGAAACAGCGCTAACAAGATACGTTTCCTCTAACTGAAGATGACGAATTTGCAGCTTTAACAAGGTTAAGATAGCAAGCAAATTCCCAAGTATTCTATCCTCTGAAACTAGTCTGTTCAGAAGTGTTTGCTAAGCCCTCAAGTGCAAGTTTTTAACAAAATCTGATATGACTTAACATATTCCTGTCCCTCAGTCTATAATTTTCTGTGTAAACTAAATTTAGCTGTAAATTTTTTTTAGGGAAGATAAGCATGGAAATGTTTTTGGTATCGTGAAGATATTTTTGTAAATAATAATGATTAACGAACTTTCATTGTTGATTTTATGAATTCAGTCACTTCAACCGTATTATTTTCATACCTAATGTCTCTCTTCACTCTCTTTTATACACTCGGTTAGTTCGTCTCGTCCATAATTCTTCCTCTTATTTTTTGACCCCTGATTTTTTCCATCGGTTTTCACTTTGCATTTCCGCAAACACTTTAATACGTTTGCTTATTTTCTCTATTCCTTTTTTTAATTTTTAAACGGGAGAAAATCATTTTCCTCTTTCTCTAGGGCAACCCCTTTACAGTAAATGATACCGGATGTTACGTATACAAATATTTTCAGTCCAATTTATTAGACTTATCAAGAAATTTGTGTCAGCAAATCAATGTTCCTCTTGTCAAATTAAATGATTCAGTTTTCAAACAGTCTATTGGTTTTGTAGTCATTTATCTTTAACTGCACGAGACTTTTCTCTGTGACACCTTTAACTTAGCTAGGTTAAGCCCACTCTGCTGGGATTATGCCAGTTCTTCTGCTATTAAAAATTCTCAATTGTTACCATACTTAGACATTTTCCTGCATTGAATTAATTAAGTGGACTAACAAAAAAGACAGAAAGAAAAATTTTCAGTTCTGTAGCAAGTCAGCAAATTATTTTCAAATTTTTTTTTTTCTACGGGAGAAAGTCAAATCAAATTTCCACTGAAAGAGCTCTTCTAAGCAAGCACTGATCGTATAAAACTGAAGATATCTCCAATGCTATAAACTTTATCACAGATCAACAGATGAATCTTGTATATTTTAATCTTGTAGGTGGATTTAACCACAAAATGACCTGTACAGTTATCGAAAATTGATGAGAATAATTGCGAAAATGTCTACAACGCTTTTATGACGTTAGAGTTGATTTTAGAATATTTTAACCGTTCAACGAGTTTAGCGTGGAACTTCGATGAGGAAATATATTTTATAGTGTTATTAATTCTTGCCCCATCTAATTACACAATAGATCTAATCTTTAGACATGATTATTGTGTCTAATGGTCCATTCTTTCGTGACTTCTTGTTGAGGTTACTTAAGGACTTTTCCCTGCTGCTTCCTTTTCTGAGCAGAAGTATGGTAGCTATGGTTACCAACTTGTGAGTATGGTTGAAGAAAGAGTAAAAGGACCAAACAACATTGAAGAGATGGAGACGAGAGTCATCAAATTCAATTACTTACTACTGACTCTGTGTTATGTAAGCATTTCCTCCAATTATCAATCTTTCATAAAGGCAATGATGTGACCTGAAAGGTTGGAAGTAATTTACAAGGAAGATCAAGTGCAAAATTTAGAAAACAAAAATGTAGGCATTAATTTGCAATGAAATGACCTAATATGAAAAGTTCAGGCTTGCTCCCCAATGCAGGAGGCTCAGTTTGACTGCGTTTAACAGAAAGGAACCAAGCCACATCAGCTATTGCCAAATTAAACTATGCCTTTTAATTTTTTACGAGAGAAAGTTTGTGTGGATTTCTTTGAATATTTTAAGAAATTTGCTTCGTAATATGGAGAAAATTCACCGAAATTGGCACGAAAATCCGCTCAACCGTTTTGATGGAAAAAATTAAATTGCTCAGTTAAATTTGGCAGTTGCTGATGGGGCTTGGATCCTTTCAGTTTAACGCGGTCCAGTCGTTCTTTTTTTTTTTTCATCTACGATTTGATCTTACCAACTAATCGATGGCTCACCTAAGAAAAAAGTGCCGGAATCTACAACTGAGATACATGGTTTCCCAAAAATTCTCTAAGAAAAGTTATACTCACCTTTTTTTTTTTTTTTTTGAATATAAAGGCGGGAAAAATCCTGCATGAGAAACTAAAGGACTCAGCACCAAAAAGTTTTTTTACGATTTTTGAAACCTCCTGGACACGACAAGCTTTAAAAATCAAACTTTCTACAAGTCAGTTTTGAGAGAGGTGGAGCTGGAGATAGATTTTAGCATTTAGATATTCATTGTCTGGTAGAAATGTTCCAACTTTAGAATGGTGCCCGAGTAGACCTACTCTTTTTCCCCTATCTGGAATGATGCAAATCTGGATCCTGGACAGACGAAAATAATCAAATTCCTTTGGATGATACTAGTGTGCAATGCAGCATTTGCACATGCATACAGCTATACTGGCTCAAATCTCCGTATGAAAATGTGTGTAAGCTGGTGCCGAATAATAATTCACTGTTAGGCCCTCATTTTCTTGATTTTGGTGAATACGAATTTCAGTTTTAAAAACTCATCGTTTTCAGGAAGTTGCAAAAGGAAATCATCACATTACGAAATTTAGCCCCCGCTAAATTATTTTGTTTTCCAAGTATGGACGTTGGTACTTGAATGGTACAAATCGAATTGCATATACTAGCAGTCAAGTCATTGTCATGTCCCTTATAAGACTGTGAAGGCATGATGACTTTCATTTACATACCTAAGAAAGATATATAACTAAGATAGTCAAGTGTCAAATGGTCCTCAGAATTTTCTCCAGAAATTTAGTAAATAAAATTCTGAGAGACGATAAAGTGACAATATAGGAACAATCTTCGGTCTAAAAACACACCAGCTGCATCCTTTGTTGTTACATTTCATCATTTGAGAGAGACAAGAATAAAACATATTTTATTAAGAAAATTTTTAATGAGAAATTTGGCGACGTGATGAGGAAAAATTACAACTTGAAAATGACTTGGTCTCTTTTTCAGATGTTTGGATTTTACTATATGATCCAAGGTCTTTTGTTCTATAGTGGAAAATTCACTTTGCTGAAAGTGCCGATTATCATTCAAGGTATCCTGGCCAAAGCGTTCATCATCATAGGCGGAAATTGTATTCTAATAATATCTGTTGGCTGCCATGCAATGCGAGGACATTTGTTATTCTTGGCTTTGGTAGGATTTAAAATTATTCTTAAAATGAGTATCTAATGCTTTTAAACAAAAAGGTTTAAAATCCATATCGGTTAGGTAACTAAATCATGGCAGAAAAAGTAATATAATACTTCTATATCAACTGGAGATTTCAGTTGAAATAACTTATAAAATGAGAGAAAAAAGATAACATTTACGCAAATAAGGAAAACAGAAATTGCTCCACTCATAAAAAACAATATCAAAATGAACGAACTATCCTTAAATTTTATGTTCGCTGGAATCCCACCGATCAATTTGTTTTGCAATTGACAGATTTTTGTTACACGTTTATTTTCCATTTCATTGTGCCTAAAATGCTGAAACTTGATCGAATTTGATGCTGATTATACTGCAAACCACAGCTTGATTCTATTTCAATTTTTCGATTCCATGCAGCGGGTAACGCTCACTTTCAGCTCAGGCATGTAGGTTTGTGGTTTCGATCTTTCAGCCTGAGTAAGACATTTTTCGTTTGAAAGTAATTTTTCACAAAAAAGTATGAAAGGAATCTATTGTTTAATTGTACCACAGGAGCAAAACATTTTTTTATCACGGACATCTGAGAACAGAACCTGCCAAGTATTTTTATATTCCTCCTTTGTTTTGGAGTCAAGTACTTGGATTGTAGAAATTCAGAGGCAAAATGCCTATTGAATCATTAGAATCCGCCAGACAAATAACCAGGTATCCATTTTAAAGGACGTTGTCGCCCTATTTTCACAATGAATAATTTTAAAATTTCAGCATGCAATCAGTTCAGTCATCATACTGACAGGTCTAGTGGCAATCAGCGTTTACTTAATAACACAACTATTATCACTGAGTGATATCATCTATACTGATATGAGATTGCTCATCAATTCCTACGAGATGGATCCGGTAAACAGACATTCCATGGATGTAATTCAAAAGGAGGTAATACTGTCTGGCATTTTTAGTACTTATGTTCAAATGAATTGAATTTCCCTGCAAACAATAGTTTTTAATATATTACACTATTACAATACAGAATGTAATATGGTAATGTTTATAGAAATAGTGATGTAGATGAGAAGATCATCGATTTAGATATGAAAAGATGCATAGGTACTGTAAGGAGAGGGAAAGGCTGGGAAAAGATTCAAATTAAAAATTGAGATGTTTCGAGATCCAAACTCTGATTTCTGATCGAAAAATTAAAAGGAAACTTGGAAAAAAGACCTGTTGTAGAGAGACCTAGACCGAATTAACTCAACTTTGATAATTGCCTTCTCACTTATGCGATTCTAAATTTTAAAGGTTTCAAAACTGCATAAAAAAGAATGGTAAAATACATTGACGAAACAGACATTTATGCCGAAGATGAATTTAAAGTACCTTGTCCCCAAATTAAATTAGGAATGTAGAATGCTTCTTGTATTATTTAAGACTTGATATAATGTTTAATTAAATTTTTAAAATAATATTTCAGGGTAGATGTTGCGGTTGTCGTTCAATTGATGACTGGCTGCCAAAAAATGAAGTACCCTCAGCATGTATTGATGCCACGTTTACAAAAAATATAAGTTTTTCTGCTGAGAAAAAGATAGTTTTTAGGGGAATTTCAAATGATACAATGACTGATCCTCCATTCATAATTCTTGGAGCAATGCCAACAGGGTTTTGTCACAAAAATGGCTGTTATTCGTCATACAGGCAGTTGATTTCAAGGAATTTGAGTATTCTTCTTACAATTTTTATCCTAAATTCTGTGCTTTTGGTAAGTTAATATGAGATACATTTTTTTTGAAAATTTAAAAAATTTCAACTTCTAGGAAGCTGAAAAATGTACTTGGTTTGAGTAAATTGTAATTCTTTATTTGGTTCTGTGGTACAAAGATGAATACCATTGGTTTAGTTCTGAATATTGATGGGTACAGTCTAGAGATGCATATCTTTATGCCTTTATTTCAAAATATCCGATTATGATTATGTTCTTAAAAGAAGACTACTTGATAATAATATCTCTTAAAAATTTTCTGTAAAAATTGTTGAATGGGTGTGGAAAATTTGGAGAGAAACAAATGATTGGTTTTCTTTAAAAATAAGCGAAAATTTGAAATATTGTGATTGAAGATGGACAGTTTTTTACTATAGCTGTCCATGTATGAATCTCAGGAAGTATACATTCAAATTTTCATTCATACATTTTCTTCTCGTCCACTTGGGTGGTAAATTGGTTGTGGCACTATCCATTTGTTGAAATATGTCTGAATTCAGATCTTCTGCATTACAGGGAATCAGCATTTATATTCAGAGTTACTTTTTTGTTGAAACTGCTCTCAAAGAGGAGGAACAATGCATCGCAGTGGCTGAGGCTTCCAGAGAGGAACAAAGGCAAATAGTACGACTGAGAAACCAGTCGTCAGGAAGACTTTTTTGTTCCACCCCAACTCAATATGATGAATCATTTGAAATTGTCGAATTCACGGAATCGGAGGAAAATATAGTTTACCCAAAATCTAGATGGGAAAAATTTTGGCAGACTTTTATTGGTAGCGAGAGTCTATTCGCTTCAAGGTACATGCGTTCTCAACGAAGACCACATAGGAGAGCCTTGGTAAGAATTCGTAATTTTCTTATGTCACTAACTCTTTTTTTTTTTTTTGCTGCCTCGGAAGGTGCTTGAGTGTTTGCTTCTGATCAATAATAGAAGTACTTGATAGTACACAGACATGGGATTATATTTTCACTTAATGTTGTTCTATTTTGTGGCTGACCTGCTTGTGAGGCTGTTTGATTTTTTTTGCAACTCTTGATATGATCAGGGTAATGGTCTGGCTCAGGTAATGGTTCTCGATCATTTCGAACATGGAGCATCTATCTTGCAGATTTGAGCAAATATGAAACATGCGAATATAATGGAGATAATGCACAAGCAAAGCATTCAAAATTTTCTGCTTTTGCGAGTTGAAACACCAAATTTCATTTTAAGTAGTTTGAGATAAACTTTAAAATCCAGAAAAAGTTTTCAGTCCCTTCACTTTATGCGAGTTACTCTTCGATTTGAGAGCAAAATTACATCAGTCAGTTTAACACCCAGCTTTTTTTTGCTGGTCAGTTGAGCAACTGCAGCTTACAAAATATTACTTCTAGTGTGTACAAGATAGATTCAATAAAAAAGTCTTTGGATTTTTCTTTCTTTGTTTCAGAATTCTGAGGAAAATGATGGAAACGACATGGTTCATTGGATGTACTACTTTTAGATGACTAAAAAGATTTAAACACACAAAAAAAACTTGTGAAATTGATTTATTCCAAAGGTTTTTCCCCCTCTTTAAAATGCATAGGAACAAGTTTTCAATTGTCTGAAAATGTAAGATGAACTCAAGAAAAGGAACCAATCTGCGCTTAAAAATTAAAAGATTCATGTAAAAAAGATCCTTTTGGTAAAATTGATGTACATGAATTACTATAGCTTTTAAAACAATGCAACATTTTTTGTTATTTATTTAAAATTGAGTAAATTACATTTGATCATTCCTGCAGAGAACATTTCTGTTAAGAAGAAAAAAATTTACACTAACCTTGAGACTAAAATAATTAATTATTCCACAATTAATGCAAGGCTAAAACAAACATGAAGACATTGGAAAAGTTTCGTGCAGATATAGATTCTTCCTGAGGTTTCTCTAACATTTGAATTATAAATTTTTTAAAAAAATGGGTGTTGAGCAAGTTACATAGAGCACGGCTCTCTCACTAACGACCACAAATTCAGTCAATGATTCACATTGATATTTTATACTTGGGCCACTAGACAAGGTTTGAGTTTAGATCTTTTCCAGAAAAAGCGTCACATGTTTTCCCTTCAGAATCTTTCGTAGAAAACGATTCACAAAACAAGGAGTTAAAAAATCAACCCCAGAACGAAATATTAGTATTTTGAACACAGAGTGAGTTCCCCACAAGAAATTTTTAACCGATGATATACTGCAACATGCTTTAATTCATACTTTGTCTAGCGGCCCATTCAAAACAGCATTTACAAAATGAGTTGACATTCAGTCATGAGTATATAATTTTTTTATTATTTCTAACTTCCCCTTCTATTATTTTCTTGCATGAGACTAATTATCAGTAAAAGGGCACCATGGTTTCAAACTATACTTTCATAATTTTTCAGGACATTTTTGATAGCTGAGTAAAAAACAGTTGTTAGTCTAACAGAAGTTTCATGAAAAGACATGGAAATGATGACAATGAAACAAAAAAGAAAAAAACGAGGTAACATCCTTAGATGCAATGAACAGGAGAAACAAGAAAATGATTATTTGGATTCTCCGGTATTCAATTTTTCAATTTTCTCTTCTGTTACTATCTTTGAAGAGGCTTATTTTTTTAAAAATAAATTACTCAATTCTACCTAAAATTATTTCTAAGAGGGTAAAATCTAAATTAGTTAAATTCATTTTAAGTCCTTCCAAAGTAGAGTCCACACCAAATAAGTTTACTCACCTCTAGAGCACAGGGGAATCATCAAAGAAGATCTGTTATCTTGATTCTTCCATTTACTTTTGATGCTAAACAGAAGACAGCTAATTTTCAGTTGCGCGCTAAAGGTGCACAAACTTATTTTGCAATAACTCTAAGAAGATTCACATGGCTGCTAAAAAAGCAGGCTCTTCAAGACAAGGACCTACTGTTTGGCCCTGTGCCAAAGGGCATTGAAAGTAAAATTGATTACCTATTTTATAAAAAAAATTAGAATTAGTATCACTAATATTTTAGATGCAGGGCATCTGTTCTATACTTCAGTAGCTCCTCCGAGAGAGTAGATCTGGATGATTTTAAAATTTTTTTACAAATATTCTATCCAAAGTGTTTTATATACATGCATTTGATAAATGGCAATAAAAAAAATTCAGGTACCTGGATCAATTGAAGTACTAATCAGAATGATAATAATACATACTGTTTTCTTACTAAATCCAAAAGGATTGGGGTAGTAAACCTTTTGGAGGGGGTATTTGTCCCTTTTTCAAGATCTGACTTAAGGCCTCTTTTAACCTGTTTAATGGAGCTCCGCCACCCTCAGGAGAAACCTGCAAACAATTGGTTAAAATTAAAAAAAAAAAAAAAATAACTGCACAAATAGAAAAAAGTAATGTGTTCGAATGTTCAAGTTCAAATCAATGATAATGAAAAGATTAAAAGGAAATTTAGGTTTTGAGAGTAAAGAAAGTTGATGGAATACAATATAGACATATCTTCTGAACCTTCATGCAGAGCTCGCCACGTCCGCGTTCATCTGTTTTGAGCAAGATGAAAAAATGCATCTGCAGTGTGGCTGCTTTTGCTGCAGTGCGCGTATTTTATACCTTCACTAATTGTAAGAGGGGATTTGATGAGTTTGCGAATCAAAATTTTTCCAGATGCCCAAAACCATAGAGCATTTGTTTCCAGCGCTATTTCATTTTTATGAAAAAAAAAAAAAGGATAAGGCTGGTTTTGCAAATGTGCTTCTCATTGGTTGCATGTTCTTCCTCAATATCATTTTTACGAGGAACTTTGTTGGGTCATTTATTTCATTTTGTGCATTTGTATAAAAAATAAACATTTTTATTATATAATAAGTAGCCACTAAAACCGATTGACATCTAATCTAATCTAGCACAGTACTCTCATTGTTTTTTTTTGCTGCAAATTTCGATTTAAAAAATTGACTTTTTTAAATAATTTGTAATCAGAGTGATCATTCACACCAGTCATCATAGTAGAATTTAAAATTTTTAATAAATAACTCTAAAATCCACTGAGATGGAATGAAGAGGTTGTTTCTTTTGAAATCTGTAAATGTGGTCGAAGTTACAGAGGGGGTTAAATTTTTTTAAGTTATTGATGCAAAGAAGAGATGATAGACAAACTGTGACAAAGTTGAAGACAGAAAATTCTTTTACCTTTTCAATTAACGGAAAATATTCTTTACAGATAAAAGCTAATAGCTTTTGGAACTGTTTCTGGTAAAATTTAGCCATGTCAGGTCCTGCAACTTGTATAAAATCTAGGAGGAATGTTGCTGTGACATCAGGTACAGGCTCTGAAAAGTAAAAAAAATATATTGAACTGCTATTTATAAAATGAGAAAGGCGATTTTTTTCTTAATTTGTATTGGATAATGGATATCATCATTTTTAACCAATACAGTAATAAATAAAGAAAATTGAAGGCAGGCGACTGTCCACAGGAGAAAGGACTCGGATGTCCGAAAATTCCAAATTGAAATAATTGTGCCACAACTTAACGGAGTTCTTTACAACATTTTGGGGTAAAAGATACCCAAAAATATCAGACCAGACCAGAATTGTGACAATCAAAAAGACTCTGTGGGGAAAATCAAAATGATTCGGAGCTGGCTAAATTTGGTTACTACTTGATATGATGTTTTTTTACGACCTCCTGAGCATGATGAGCTTAGATAATCATACTTTTCATGCACCTAGTTTAAGAGAGGTGATGCTAAGAAGTGAATTTTTCAGTACTTTACTGTGCATTTTCTTTGAAAGATGAGGCGCTGCTGCTGATCCCCATGGGTAGGGCCTTGGTTCCGAACCAGTTGATGCGGCATCTATCTGTAACCTTCCCAGCCAGTTGGCAGCAAGGAAACAGGATCTCTACACTTAATCATGAACATTTCTACTGGAAGATGCATGTAAAGTACGGAAAAATTCCCTTTTCTTAAATAGGCACTTGGAAAGTTCAATTTTTTTCATCAAGCTCAGAGAGTCATGAGGAACATCGAATTAAAGAATAACGAAATCTACATGACGTTGAATCCTTTGCTTTTTAGTGCAGTCCTGAATTTTTTATTTTGAAGTTGTAAAATCAATAATTGGAAATATAATTTGACTATTGTGGCTAAGGGGCCATCCATATATTATGTAAGGCACTTTTTCCCATTTTTAGACCCCCCTCCCTCATTCGTAAGGCGTAAGGCACCGCATGGCATCCCTTAACACCCTTAAAAAAATTACGTGGCGCTCGACTGGCCCCTCTCCCCCTGTTATTTCAATTATCGAAAGTCAAAGCACTACGTTTTCTTTGAGAAAAACAATGTTTTCAGGCCAAAATTTTCATTGGTGAAACTAAATTTTTGAAGTAAATTCATAGGAAATATTAATATAACAACTAGTTCATAAATAAACAAAAATACATGGAGCACCATTGGAGGTTTTTCGGTCTTTGGAATATTAAAAGTATAAAGTTGACATGAGGATGAAGTCATTACCTACTCATCATCCTTTGGAGTGGAGAAGTGGGAATCAAGAGAAATGACAGGAGCATGGTCCGATCGGTCAGCGTGCTGATTTCCTCTACTTCATCTTGAATTTTATTATCAACTTGACGAAAAATAGATTTTTGAATTTTCTTTAAATGTAGGCTCCTAAGGCACCGTAAGGCTGTTAGAGACCTCCCTACCCCTTAGAGGCTTACATAATTTATGAACTGCCCCTAACTGCGACTGACGGTTCGAAATACGAAATGGGCATCAAAATTGAAGAAAAACACAGCTTTAACAATTAAATTAGATCAATTCATGAAATACATCTTTCTTCACTTACCAAGATTGAGAATGGCTGCAAACCATCGCCAAGCATTAGATAAGCCGTGAGGATGATTGTCCACACCAGCCTTGGTTTTTGTTATAGTGATAGCAGCATACAGTCTGACAACACCAGATAGTCGTTTTAAGTACTTATCTTGTTTCTCTACCTCATCATCCTCCGAGTACTCGTAACCTAATAATCTGTGTAAAAACGACAAAGGTAGGTATTTAATTATTGAACATGAATGTCAGACACGGTTAATATTTTCGATAGGAATGGAAAGTCAAGGCAAAATCATGAAATTATCCTGCGAACTTTCAGTGAAATATTAAAAAATTGAAATTGAGGGCCATTTTTCATTAAATAAATAAAACCTTGTAAGATTTCAAGAGCAATGATGAGCATGATAATATGCAGCTTAGTAGTTTAAATTTTTAATTATTTCCCGCCTCCTGCCATCAGTGATGTCCGATGGAAAATTCAAAAAAATTCAGGAATGGCAACACTTCCACTTTTCCTCACAGATTAGTCCAGAATGCTAACGTCCAATCTAGCCGATGCTTAGAAAGCGTGCGTAATTTTGCTACAAGTTAGGCAACTTTAGAAAATTTATGGCACTACCAGTAGTGAAAGGACTTGACCGGATCGAGAGAAATTTCCTCTTGAATCTGATTATAAAGCTTTAATAAAGTATAAATAGTAATATGTAATAATGGTTTTTGATCAAATAAGATTTTATCAAGTACTGTTATGCTAAGAATTCTGTTTCAATATTCTTACAACAGTTGGTAGCAATTAACTGCTCTCATGGGGGGCCTGGCGGGAATTCAAAACTAGGAACCAAAAGTCTCATTTTGCTAGGATTTTGCTTTAATTTTCGGTTTCTAAGACTTTAAAAATATGATATGATATAATCTGGCGGTGAAGATCGATTCATCCAGAATAGATGAGAGATAGACATTCCAAATTAACGGGGAAAGTTCTGCATCTTTTAATTTGGAAATATTGAACCACATAAATTCTACTGAGAAACTAATTCTTGAATTCCTCGGAATATTTCATCCCACAAAAGCGATCTGGACTAATCTGTGGGATAAACGATAAAAGAATTATTTAACTTTCCCATAAAGTTTGCCCATGCTCATCATTGATGGGTAGAAAATAACAATGTGTGGCATACCAGTAACATGATCATTTCATNCCACCTTGATGGACTACTACGTGATAACAGGGAGTGAGGAAGAATGCCAGGGTTATCAGTCTCGTCACGAACGCGAACGCGGACGCGGACATCGAACCACTCGCGATCGCGAAAACGTACCGTAAAAAATTTTAGTTTTTATATTTTAAATCACCTGACGATGGGTGAAAACCCGAAACAGCTGTAGTGTACAATCGACAAGTTTTAGGAAAAATCGGTAAGAAAAAGTTTTAAAAAAAATTTCAATATTTAAAGTATGGCCGATAAAGTCAACAAGAGAAGTGATGATCATTTCATACTCATTTTAATTTCTCGCTGTTTCCATACTCTGTTTCATAGCAGAGCACTTCACCAATAACTGTAGGATCAATCAGTACAATGTAGAAACTTCACTCTGAAAATAACCCCTCACTTAATCATTAAAAACTTTAATTATTATTAAACTTTTCCTATCATTAATGACCCTTTCCTACAATATCTCGTCAAAATTCCCGTTTCAACTTTATTTTGTTTTTTTAGTAAAACTGACAACACTGTTTTACCGGAAACGGAAACGATATGTAAAACAGGATATCCGGAATTATTTGAAATTCCCGCTTAATTTGGTTCAACTTGGAATAAATGGAATGAACCGCTCTGGACCAATCAAACCGCCTGGTTCAGAATTTGCCAATAAAATTCCTTTTGTTCGAAAAGAGGAATAATTGGAAAAAGCCAGCGCAACCTTTTCCTAACCTAAAACAGAAAACACAATGTTTACATTCTGCTCTGTGTTTACAAATAAAGTTGAAACGGGAATTTTGACGAGATATTGTAGGAAAGGGTCATTAATGATAGGAGAAGTTTAATAATAATTAAAGTTTTTAATGATTAAGTGAGGGGTTATTTTCAGAGTGAAGTTTCTACATTGTACTGATTGATTCTACAGTTATTGGTGAAGTGCTCTGCTATGAAACAGAGTATGGAAACAGCGAGAAATTAAAATGAGTATGAAATGATCATGTTACTGGTATGCCACACATTGTTATTTTCTACCCATCAATGATGAGCATGGGCAAACTTTTAGTCCTAGGTCCTGAATGATTTTGTCCCCATGGACAGTTAGATGAACGGCCAATGGAGAAAGAAAGAAACCGTAAGCAAATAGCAGTAAAGGAAAAATTTGAGATACTAAAGTTCTTAGAAGAAAACAAAAGTGTTTCTCACAAAGAAGTGGCGGCTAAGTATGGAATAGGAGTCTCGACAATAAGGCAATTGTTAAAAAGAAAAGACAGATTGATAAAACTTGCGAAGGAGCATCATAACGCAGATGATAAAAAGAGGTTCAAAAAATCAAAATATGAGAGAATTGAAAAAGCACTTCTTAATTGGTTTGAACATGCTACCGCCAATGGAATTAAAGTTTACGAGTCGATGTTTAAGGAGAAAGCGACTGAAATAGCTCAACAACTGCAATTCAGTGACTTCAGATCTTCAAATGGTTGGTTTTACAGATTTAAGACCCGTTACAATATAACACCAAATTACACTCCAAATAAAAAATCTTTCAAGAGTGGAGATGGAAGTCGATGGAAAACAGATGTATCAGCAGAAATTTTGGCTGATTATAGACTTGCAGATATATATTGTGCAGATATTTTTGGATTATCTTCGGTAGCTGTAATGGGCAAACAATATGTGGAAAGAGATGGTGCTATCAACAGCAATGACCAATTTTCAATTTTACTTTGCTCAAGTATTGATGGATCACACAGAGACAAGCCTGTAGTGTTCGGGAAAAACGAACTCTTGAAGTAAGTTTTTGAAGTAACACTCAACATTTTAAATTGTTCAACACTTGGGACTGGGGCATCCCTTTTTTGAATTGAGTAACTAACTATTTCCGTTACATTAAGTTGAAGGGTTTCATGACTTAATCAGGTTCAGGGATGTATCAAAAACTCTTACATTTTTTTGGTTGGTTTTGATTGTTTTCCATGGATTTTTTTTATGGTAGTGCACGAACGGTGCATGCCAGTTTGAGAGTCTACTTTTCCAGTCAATTGCAGTAATTTATAATTAAACTTGATTTTACTTTCTACTGAAACTGGCTGCACCACTCTGACTCATCAATTAATAGATATTGCCCAAGAGATATGAAGGTTAATTTTCGAAAGAAAACAAAAAATTCTTGATCCAATATAGCTAAGCAATCTCTTTGAAATATAGCAGTTGCGAAAGAATGATCGCAACAATTAATTTTTTGGCCCTTATGACTTTTGTTATTGTTGATAAATCTGTAAGTAAGAGCCAAAAAAACGTAACTTGCAATTTTGAAAAAATTGAGTTTCTTTCATAAGGGATCAATGCATGTAAAAAGTTTATAATGACATCTAGAGCCAGGCCCGAGATAAGGGGTTTTTAATTGTGTAAAATATGCAGCAGGCAACTGAGCTATCTCATGGTTTTTCCCTAATTTCTCGACTTGGTGGAAATGTAGTTACAATTCTTTGGTTCTTAGCTACAGAGATAGTGGTTTATTATGATGAAAATATGGCTTTTTTATTCTGAATTACTCAATTAGAGACAAGATGTTTTCTAGGTATCCATTTTTTCTTTCTGTTCCCAGCAAAAATCAGACACTACCTTATGCCTATGTTCTCAACATAAGTTCATGGATGACGAAAGAAGAGTTTTATAAATGGATTATTGAGTTTGATACCAGAATATCAGCCGAAAGAAGAAAGGCTGCGCTGTTTTTAGGGAACTCCCTGGCACGTTTTGATTTTCCGAACGTTGATAATGTAAAAATAGTTTTGGCCCCTTCATGTTCTACCTCATGTCTACTGCCCATTTACAATATAGTGCTAAAAGCCACCGAACAATCTTTCAAGGAAGCAACTGCTTATTGGTTAGAAAATTTGTGTCTCAGTAAAACAACTGTTACCAAAGCTCTTGTAAGGGAGCACTTTCGTCAAATGCTTTCATTATTTGCGGTAAGTTTAAGTCTGTTCTATTCTGACTATATTAAAGATAGTTACAGCTGATAAATAACGAAAGTTCAAGAGAATACATAAGTACAGAAAATATTTTTGCCCTCAGTTTGCATTGAATTTTGAAGAAATTTCAGGGAAAAAGACCCTTCCAACTTTCAAATTCTCCTCATCTCCTGCAATATGCCACAGAATTTAGAGAGTAAAATTTCCTGATTTCTCTGAAAAACTTTGGGGAAATTCCCTGATAATTGAGGATTTGCCAGATGGTTAAAGAATCATGAATTATAAAAGTTTTTATGCAAAATTTGTTGTCTTCGACGTCGAACCTGTTCTAGAAAGCAAATGAAGGTATTTTGAACATTTTCCCCGACACTTTCATCATTTTCCCGAACGTTCTCAGGTTTTCCCTGACTTTAAAAAATTCCGACACTTTCCTGTTATTTAGATATCTCTGGTTGTATTGGCCCTGCAAGTAGCACATTGTAGTCAGTAGTAATTGATTGTCAGAATATGGTTAAATCAAATTTTTTTTCTTTCCTTTCATCTCTGATGTAGACCGCGTTAAGCAGAAAGGAACCAAGCCACACCAGCCATTGCCAAATTCAATCGGGCAATTTAATTTTTTACATGAAAACGGTTGTGTGAATTTTTGTGCAAATTCCTGTTACTTCTTTGCAGTATGCGAAGCAAATTCCTTGAAATTTTCGAAGGAATCTGCACAAACGTTCTCCTGTAAAATACAAAATTGCTCAGTTAAACTTGGCAATGGCTGATGTGGCTTGGTTCCTTTCTGTTAAACGCAGTCCATTTGCGAGTCCTCTTTGATGAACTTGATTTATGTCTTGTATTCATTATTTGCAGAATCACTGGGAGGAAGTAGAATCAGCTTCATTTCTGAGATCATTTCAAGAGTCTGGCTTTTGTCCAGACGCTACTTCCCACACTGCTCCCGATCTATCTACCGGAGAAATCGAACACAGATCATGCAGTCCAACTGCAAGCCCTATCGAAATCTCCGAAGAATCGGATAATTTGGATGACGAGGATGGAATCCACATACTTGAAAATATTTCTGATCAAGAGATTGATGATTTGATATTACTCATAGAGAATAAGACTGACAATCCTGTAAATAACTCAGAGGAAATGAGCGAGAGTACGATAGCTGCTGGTGAATTGATAGAGGAATTAGAGGAAGAGGTTCCTTGTGTGAGCACAGAAGAGGCTTTGGCATCTATAGTTACTTTGAAGAATTTTATGGCTCAGACTAGTAGTTTTAACGATAAACACTGGGATTATTTAGCGGAGCTTCAGAATATCATACTTGATGGACAAGAGCAAAGCTGATGCAAGATAGACTAGATGACTGTTTCAGAGAGGAAAAATTACCTCTTAGTTTTCTGTAAAAATTGAATATTTTGTACAGTAGGTGGAAGTGCCTTTCCTTTGGTTATTATTTGTTTTCTAGATCTTCATTTGAATAAATACTTTGTTGATTTTCACCACGATTTCACTCTGATTAGTCCTTCCAAATATTTTTTCTTTGAATATATGTATTTAATGAACAGCTCTTAGTCCTAAAACAATTTCCGACATTCTAAAAACTTTTCGACATTCTAAATTCAAATTTTTTCTTGATGTGTAGTATATCCACAGAGAGTTATGAGACCACTGGTAAATCAATCTGAAAACTTCCTCTGAAAATATCTATTACCCACTCTAAACGATAGCCAATGAGATATCAGAAAAATTAAACATACCTATAAGAATAAAATATGATGAGTTAGCATAATGATGCGGTCATTACAGATCACACAAATGAATTGAAAAATTAATAAGAATTGGGAGGTGCAGCATATGAACAAGTTCAGTGACGTTCTTAGTATGATTGGGATACGGATTCCGTTTCACAGAGCTAGTTTTGAAGTATGGCATGTTAAACTGAGGTGATAGAATATAATTTTGGAAGAATAAAAATCACATACTCCGCTTTGGTAGGGCAGAAGCACATAAAGGGGGAAAAACTATAGGTAAGGAACATATTTAAATGTTCATGCACTGCAGGCTGATTGTTGAAAACGATAGACAATAAGAGAAGGACAAAGAAGACAAAAGGGATGTGGAGGGATCCTACTGGTGGAAGCGGGTAGTTGTAATGGACGAAGGAGGTAGGTAATAGACTAACTAACGGTAACCGACGAGAAACCCTCCAGTTAGTCCATCATTTTCACCCTTGGTCTATAGAAACCACCCATTTCAACCAATAGGATAGCTCCATAATCCCTGTGTCTTCTTTGTCTATTGCTTTGTCTGTTCTAAATCAACAACTAGCCCGCCGGACCGCTTGTTAAAAAATAATTTGTACTTACTTATAATAATCTTTGTTGGATTGTCCTTCCACTTGTGGCCAGCAAGCAGGTATCAAGTAAGGGTTTACTCTGTGAAAGAATGCAAGCAAAAGCTGACCAAAATCTGGGTACAACTGCCATAAAGCTACAATGATGGTGGCGATAGCAAATGCCGCTTCTGGGTGACTAGAGACATTCTTCTCTCCTTGTTCCTGTAAACACCAAAAAAAGAGTTAGCAAACTTACAATTAACTAAGGGAAGTGCTAAAAATTAATAAAAAAGAGGGAGCTGATACAAGTTTTTTTTAAATACCTATTGTGCTAGAACAGAATGTACTGCAATGAACTACAGCCCTTTTTTATCACAGTTATCGGGCTTGATACTTCGCGCTACCAGGGACCCATTGAATTGCTCCAGCGCAATAGTTGTTGGCTATGATTACACATGTTCCTAACTTTAAATTACAAATACAAATGCTCCCTGTTAACCTCCAGATATAACACATGCAGTAAATAAAAACAAATGTACGTGGAACGTCGCATTTTTCCCCATTAAAGCAGAGCAGAACAACTGGGATCCCAAGTAACCCCTTCCTTCATATTCCAAACATGTTCACTATATACCATTTGACTATTAAAAAGAACACTTAAGCACTAAAATAAAAAAAAAAATACCACATAAAAAGCGAAACCGAATAGAAAATATGAGAACTTACCACGAATTTTTTTGCTAATGTATATTTACAGAATTGAAGTCCCAGGGGATGACTGGTCGCACTGAATGATTTATTATTGACAGTAACTGATCTGCCGGCTAGCAGATTCGACAATTTATTATATTTATCTACAAGATGGGCTTTGCTTTCTGGAGAGATAGCATTGACAGGAGTAATGACCGCTTTCTGGAAATTTAATTAAATACATTGGGTAAAAAATCTGGAGGAAAAGAGACCAGCCAATTTTTTTTGCTTTTGCATCTTATCAAGGAATCCGTCCCTTGGACTCACATTTACTCACTCAGCAAGAGATTTTTCAGAAAACTATGAGATGTCAGTCGATAAAACAAGCACTTTAACCTTTTGTTTGAAAAAATGGGTAGATCCAGTTATGATTGGTTTCTACTTAAGCAAAATAGGCTGACCAATCTATAAAATGAGTATAACAAGCACTAAACACAATATCGACAGTGAAACTACCAGACCATGTATCTTGTTTGCGGTGTTTAATAATGTCCGCTTTCATTTAATTTTTTTAAAGGAGAACAAATCCGTATCATTTCTTGAAATTTTTACAGACTTTTCTTCGCACAGAAAGGAAAAAACACGGAAGTTTTCAAGAATTGACGTAGAGTAGTTTTCTATTTAAAAAATAAAGCACATATGACAGGAAGTCTGCGACGTTGCAAACCAAGGTACGTGGTCTGGTAGTTTCACCGTCAATAAGCTTCGTTACAAAGCCTCTGCTCTGCTTAACTATTATTTCTTATACCAGAATTTTTCTACAAAGAAAACAAAAAGATTAGGTTGATTTATTATGTTTTTTCATGTTTTTCAATCTCATACCTGGCACAAGAATCTGAATTGTTTGAGACTGGGATCAGCGCAGAAAGGCACAAAAGATTCTTCCACCGCTTTTAAGAATTTATTTAACTGGTTGTATGTTTTAAGGCATCTAGGATCTGCATACTCTCCAGTCCCTGAATTCAAAAGGGGGAAAAAGTGGTTAGATGAAACTTTTAAGACAAAAATATTCTTGGAGACAAAGCATATCACAGGCAAAACTAGTCGAAAATAAGGAATAATTACATTATTATTTTGTTAATATTAAACAATAGAGATTATATAAGACCTCTTTCAATTTTAAGACACCTTCATCCTTTGGATCTGTGAAAGGGAGATTGTCTTTCCCCGCGGAGGGGATTTTTCTTAACTTTCTTCAAGAGCTTCAACAACATTTTTCTGCAACCTGAGAGACTTCGTCTAGGAACTTCAGGACTCAAATCTCTGTCAATTTTAGAACTTTCAGGATCAAACTTGCACCAAAATTCCCTTATTCTTTCACCATGCATTTGCAAAAAGTTAAGGAAAATATTCTCTAAGAAGATGAAGGTCCATTTTCAATGATCCGGTCACATTTTAGTACTGTCTTGTGGGAAAAATAAGACCTGCAGACCGATTCCTGAAATTAAAAGTCAGCAGAACAAGCCATAGCAATGCGATGGGCTGAATGGTTAAGATACAGGTTTATCTTGTCTATTCGATATAATTTAAATAATCAACCTTCGGCGTTCGCTCCTTTTTGGTCAGGTTTACAGTCACCGCAAAGATTTTGACTGTATTATTAGTCACTTATTCAGTAGTGAGATGATGTAGTTGCCAATTATAGATAATAAGTTCTATGTATGTACTAAGGAGAGTGTTCAAAAATCATTTGCTTACCAAGATTGCTAGAAAACTCTTGAGAATCTTCACTCTTCGTCTCTCCGGCAGGATGAAAAGTATTTCCTTCATTTCCGGGTGGTACAGGAGCGCTCTCACGAACAGCTTTTTCTGATTTGAATTTATCTGAAATATGCAATAAAAGGCAAAGGTGAATGAGTCTGATTGGTAACAAAAGGGATCATCACAAGGGAGGATGTAAATCTGAAAGAGAGAATAGGTGTAAAATAATGTTCAATGCGAAGGCGAAATTCAAATCCACTTTTTTAAGGTTGATGCAATGAGATATAGACTTTAATGATAGCTGACAAAAACAGCAACTGCACTTGACCTTTTTCTTTCCAGGTTAGATTCTGCATGAGCACACATCACAACAGACATTGGTTTCAAAGTAACAAGGTAACACATAGGTAAGTGAAACATAGGTATGCTCTTTTCAACCCTTTCTGCCAGAACTTGGCTTTCGGCTCTTACCAAAAGAAATGTGGTGCAAAATTTGAAATTCAACAACTTTACAGTCTTGACCGAAAACAAATATGACCATCTGCTGTTGATAAAAGTGAAGAAGCGGCTGCATCACTAAAAGCAAATAAGTTTTAAAATTTGAGTTGAATTTTTAAAGAATTCGCTCGCACTAAATTTGTTTGTTTTTATCGATAGCTGACAGTCATATTTCTTTTCTTTCAAGACTGCAAAGTTGTTGAAATTCAAATTTTGCACCACAGCTCTAGCGGCAGCAGCTGAAAGTTGAGTTCTGGCGCAAAGGGGCGGGAAGAGTATACCTACGTTTCACTTATCTTGGGTTTATCATATTAACAAATTAAAGCGCACTCTGTCGAGAAAATTCCAAAGTTGTGGTTCATATCTTCTCAAATGAATAGAGCTACAAATATAAATACTTCTGACAACGAGTGAGGGTAGTAATGCTGTGGGAAGGATACAATTTTTCTTAACGTAGATGCTACTGTCATGGTAATGAAAGGGTTAAATATCATTTCCAGACTTCTTCCCAATTTATGTAAAGAGAAATCCATCAAGCAGTGCAACCGCTCACTGCTGTCTTTTCCACTGATATAAAAACTCACATATTTTGCAGGTTTCTAGACTTTACCAGGTTTTCTTAGGCATATTATCATTATTTTCAGATGTGATAGCTTCCTGACTATTGGGAAGATAAAGAAAAGCTCTCATCTTGATTTTTGTGTCTAAGTTCAATACAACTGCAAAGACAGAGGAGCTTTTTTTCAACAAAAAGCAGTAAGTACGTAACGGTGGACTTCCAGGCAGGGTTGGAAATTATGCACCACAATACATATTTTTTGGTCAAAATTTCCTCTTACAAAATCTCATTCAATTCATTCATTTGAAAAAAAAAAAAAAGAACGCTTGAATTACGGCTCTTTTAGAACCTGCTGATTGTCATTTATAAATTAAGCCTTTTTCTATCCTATCACTCTTTTTTGCAATCCTAACAATTTTATGGCTTGAAATCCTATATAGATTTAAGACCAGCTTACCAGCTTGAGCTTTCATGTGATTATAAATTTCATTGATTTGTGCTACAAAGCTTGCGGCGTTTTCTACGTCAGCTGCCTCTACCACACCATCCTGAAAAATTAAAGCAGCAAAAATGTTACTAAAGACCTCAAGAGTGCATTGAATAGTGTTGAAAATGAAACCACGGTATCATCATCAAATAAAAGTTATGAATAGCACAGCCTGTTTCAGCAATGGTATTGATTAAACTTGAAACAGAGTTACATTTTTACGTCCTAATATTATTTCTCAAATTATTTAAGTTACCTATTGTCGTAGAAGTATTCGTTTCCGAATATCCGCTATAAAATCTTTCGATTTTAGAAGGCTATTTGACAACGCTACTCTCCGTCTTTTTTCGTTGATACACACCACAAACAGCGCATGCCCGCACTAGTGAGGATTCGCTAGTGAGAGCGAGGTCGAGAGAGTTCGGAAAGAGCGTATGGGAATTCGTGGCCGAAGGGAGCTGTGGCTTTGCCTGCGTCTTCGTCCCGATTTTACCACCTCTCAAGGGTGATCTGTCCTATTCATCAAAAGGAAAATCTATGTTTTCCCTTTTAATCACTTCTCGCTGCCACCACCTCTTCCCGAAAAGTCCTTTTCCTCTGTCCCTACCAGAAATACCTTAGTCTACGCTACGCATTGCGGTATCGCGACAAGACTGAGTGCATTTCTAATACATAGGGACCATAAAGGCGGGATTTGCTCCCCACACTATTTCTAAAGCCTAATCATCTATTTTTCGAAGAGTTCCGTTTCTTTAAAATAGTCCATAAAAAATTCAAAATGTTGATATATATTGATAAAATAAATGAATCCATCTTGAAGGATAACCAATTTGGGAGTATTTGATTGTACTTATTAGAGGCTGTGCAAATACGCGTTCATAAATTGAAAAGACTAACCGGCTATGTTAAGAGCTTGTGCATGATTTTTCCTCCAAAAATGTTTCTGGCCGGACATTAGCAAAAGTAAAAAGTTTTTTGAATAATTGGAATTCCTGATTTGTTATCCCATAAACTATTGAGGCTACAATATTGATTTGAACTTAAGGCAACTAACTGTCTACACAAGGCATTTTTCCGGTACCTGAGTCTAAAATTTCCCTTATTTCTTCATAAGAGGCAAATAAGATTACCTAAAAAATAGATTAGGTACATGTTTTGATCTAAATGAAGGAAAAAAATGTTGAGGTAAAAATGCATGACTACAATGGAATAAAATATTATTCCGATTCATATATACAGCTTTCAGGGGCACAAATGATAGCTCTGCAGGGTCAGATGCATCACCCCTGACTCTTCATAAAGATGATATAGATGCTACATGGTTAGAAAATGAATGACGATGATGTTTCATAATTCCATTGACAGTTTGTACATACCCTGCATTTCTCGACAAAATCATCCATGGAGTCTGTTACAAATCGTGCCTTGTCGATATCAGACGAAATCACAGCCATAAGTTCCTTGGAGGTATCACAATTGCTGTAAGAAAAAATTAAATGAAAAATTACTAATACAATAATGACCTATGCATTTACAATATCCTGCTTAGTTCTGTTGTTGGTTAGTTCATACAAGAGAGCATACTGCTCAGTTAAAATGTGAGCAAATGCAAAACTAAATCAGAGAAGGTTAAGGAAATAAATCATGCCTGAAAGAGAATGCAAGGTGACTTTTCTTCCTTTCTTTGAGTTTTGAACCTTTAAATTCTTTTACTGTTTAAGCTGTGACCAGAACCATAGAAAGTATGTGAAAGGAAGTTGCGTTGATCGAGGTCTCAAATCTTTAAGATGAGCTTGAGATTTTAAGCGTTTTTATTTGGAAATGATGAGCTTATGATTGATTTGAGTATAAGCAGAAACACTGCAGAAATTTGTTTTTAGGACTAAAATAATAAAATAATTGATGAAATTCAGTAATTACTTGGTCTTGATTCAATAGGCATCATCAATGATTTTAGCTGCCATAACATTTACGAAGGAGAATTGAATCACTTTGTTGCTGTTCAAATTGTCAGTTAATTAGTTGTTTTTTTTTTTTTGGCATAGATAAAAGAAAAACCAGTATCAGCTCTTTTTTTTTTAGCATTTCTCATAGCTAAATGTCTAAAATTATCTGGCAGCAAGATGCAGACTAAAATTAAGACGTGTGGAGAATGCATTGTTATTGACAAGTAAGCTCATTTATATGAAAATCGTCCAACTTGGTTACGACAAATGGATTCATAAGAGCTTGTCAAAAGGCTAATATTTTTACTTTACACTAGAGTAATGGTAGTTATGCATACTCAGAACATGCAACTTACAAAATTCAACAATTAATTGACTAGCAGACCAGAGAAAAAAAGATGGCAAAATAATTAATGTCATAAAAAATTTACCGAATGAATTCACAGAACTCTTGATATTTCTGTCTAAACAGCAGCTGATTTGCAAAAATTTTGTCCAGATTGCTCTTCCTTTCTTTCCATTTTGCTCTTTTGATTTCCTGTTCTTCTAGTTCTTTCTTTTCTAATTCTCTAACTTTAGCAGTAACTTCATTTAATCTCTAGAATAGAAAAAACAGAGTCATAAAGTATTTAGAGGAAAAAAATATTAAAAAATTGAAGATAAGAATTCACCGTCATTATTGTAAATGCCAGAAAACAGGATTTGGTTTTGAAAATTAGGTATATCCATCTTGAAGCTTTTGCCAAAAACTCCATTCACTTATTTTTTGAAGTTTTAATAAATACGTTACCTTGAAGGTGAAAAGAAAGCATTGAAATAGACCTATACCTCGAGTAGAAACTGGAATAATGATCCGCAGTGAGTTATTATCAGCATGAAGTATTAAAATTTTGTGCTGACCACTTCAGAAAAATCCTGAATTGCGAATTTTCAGAGACCATAAAAATACTTGTGCAAATGACAAAAGAATCATTATTATTGTAGCTGTCATCTTGGTTGCATTTTAAAAAACTGATAAATGGAGAAAAAACGAAAAAATTAATTGACGAAAATATTTTCTAGGTACATAAGAGGGTCATTCCAAAAGTAAGTTCCACGGTCTTATATTTTTGATACTAGCAACAATAAATGAATATGGTAATAGAGATGTGTCTGCCAGACTCTCAGCTTATCCAGAGATCTTAAGAAGTTGAAAATTAGCCTCCTAGTTTGCTTGAAAAGTCAGTTATACTAGACTGCCCTCTTCTCCAACCAGGTCTAAAAATAATGATTTCTTTGATTGGCAGCAACCGTTCAGAATTTAATGCCAAAGTTAATAAGAGACTTTTTTCCCATCCTCTTTAGTGGCCAAATTTAGCCCCCAGTGATTTTTATCTTTTCCCAGAATTGAAATAAGAAATTGGGGGTGGTAAATTCGCCATTGATGATGTCACAAAAGGAGTCTTTACTTGGCTTCAAAATCTAGATGAGGACTTCTTTTCAGCTGGTATCAGAGAACGTAGGCACTGATATCAGAAGTGTTTGGAGAAAGAAAAAGACTACTTTGAAAAGTAAGGGGGGCTCTTAAGGACTCTTCTTTCATAAGACTGTTGATTTATTTTTGTTGTTTCCATATTCTGCGCACAGTTCGAAGTTACATTTTTGGACCAGCACAAAAAGAGGGTCAGTCCAGTGAAACGGAATTTTACCATTACCTATTAGGCTGATTATTAACTTCTTTAGCTCCTTAAAAAGATGAGTGTGATGGGCAAACCTCTTTTTGCCGCATTCATTTATCGATAATAATTTTGGACAAACAAGACTGCAGAACTTACTTTGGAACCGCCTTTATATTGATTCAGTACACACATTCTAGAGCCATTTTTTAAAATCATAATAATGGATTACTATGGTAGCATATCCTTGTGTTGTAATTATTACCTTAGCATGATTTTCATTTCTAATCATCAGTTGTTCCATACGAATGGCTGCATTTTTCTCTTCCTCTTCTAGTTCTTTCTGTAATCTTTCATGCTCGATAGCCGCTTTCGATAAAGCCTCCATTTTCATTGCATTCTTTAAGGATTCCAGCTCTTCTTTGGACTTCCGATCCATTTCTCTGAACTTTTCTAGCCGGCGTTGCATTGCTTCCTATATAATATAACGGAATAACATTAAGGAAATTGTAGCAGAACGAAACAAAAACCTTTAGTAGCTGCATCAAAAATAATTGTGGTAGAACTAACAAGCTCCAGCAAAATATTAAGTAATGATGCGTAATCAAACAGATGCACTTAGGAGTCTTCATGTGGATGTACTAATATTGAGGCAACCTTGGCACATAAGCAATGAAAAAAGATCTTGATGCTTATGGATGTAAGTTGAACAATTAAAAATAATCTGTTTGTCTACAAGATATAGTCTACTTACAACTTGACAAAAATTGTCAGAAATGCGGTCCCTAGCTTCAGTTCGAACAAACAGGATCATGATACGTGGGAGCATTAGATAGCAGCACCTGATAAAATTAAGGTCATTTTGGTTGTTTAAACCCCTAAGTTCAAAACATCTTTTAAGTTTCGGTACACACTTGATTAGGATAATCTGCTTGACAAGCAGGTTCTTTTCCTTGGGCCAATTATTATGAGCCTATGATATAACAGAGAAAACAATGGACCACTAGACAAGGTACGAATTTCTGCATTCTGATACATGTGTCTTGACCAAAATTTTACGTAAAATACGACGCGCACAGAAAAAATTACTGAAATCAACTCCTTCCAAAGATATTTAATGATTTTTGATGCGTGAATTCAAACCACCCGCTCATGCAAACTCAATGCTATGCGTGATTCACATCGTGCGCTAAACGTTATCATGACAGTCTCTGCGATATAAAAATCTGGCAACCTCAATCTTGACGCTTTGGCTCAGCTGTAGCAAATTGCTATTAGTTTGAACAACGCATGGTGGGTAATGAAAGAATTACTCGATTGAGACTTGTTTAAACCGTTGTAGTGCGCGATTTGACTCACGTAGACCTTTGAGTTTCTTGTCAGCGGGCAGTTCAAATTCCTCGTAACCAATGTGAAATAAAAACGTTAATATCTTCGTTAGGAGTTGGTTTCAGTGATTTTCGTTTTGTGAATCGTGTTCTACGTGAAATTCTGGTTAAGAAACTAGTATTGGATTACTTAAATTCGTACGTTGTCTAGTGGTCCATTATTATAAGCCTATGATATAACAGAGAAAACAATTTTTGAATAAAAAAGGTTACCTTCACATTTTCTCTGAGTTTTTGCTCATACACATTCAGGAGTAGCGTATGAGGTACAGCCTCAACTTTTTCTTGAGTGGAGTGGTTATGAATGGATGATTTGTCCGAAGTGACATCAAAGGTAAGTCTCCTCGGAGAAAAACTATTTTCGCCTCCTGGCGAATGTTTCTCTTTGATGGGTGTAGAGGTAGCAAATTCTCCATTGGCGCTCCCATTTTTTACCGCACTCCCGTTATGTTTTGATGATGGGCCGATAGTTACTCCTCCACAGCTATTCTTAAGAGCAATAGCTTTCTTCAGAGTTGAGATTTTTAACCTCTCAAGGTTGGAGACTGGATCAAACTCATCCATTGCCTGAAAAAATTAGCAATCAATGAAAAATAAGGTGAAGGTGGGGTTTGAAACGAATATCAATGTCGATCGAGTTAACCTTCCGGTTATTTTTATCTGTGGAACGTATGGAACGTGATGGGTCAGGATCTTTGCGGTTCGGGCTAGTTTAACCAGTCTAACCGCAGCCTCAACCCACCTCGGAAGAGCGTTCCACTGGAACGCACTGGAATGCAATAAAAAAGTGAAGCATTCCGCAGCGATCCTTTGTGGCTCGGATAAAAAAAAAGCCCTCTTCCTGTGGGACCTCGGTTGACAACACAGACATGTGGAAAAACTCTGTTATTTGGCCTCTTGGCGACAACTAGATACTTCAACTTTCAGGATTCTAACACTAATATCTAGAAACTAATTATTATATTTGTTCTTCAGGCAAGTAAAACAAGCGTACACCAGGGTAATACTTCCCGTGGTAGTATTGGTTGGAGGCTCTTTTTAACCAGGGTGGAGAGACAGTTTTCTTTAATGAGAATAAAATAGGCGCAACTATCTAAAATGTTTGAGTTGAAACTGGACCAGAAAACTTTTAACTGTAATTTCTTCTTATTATTAGCAAGTATATCAAGAATAAAAAAGAGAAACAAACTGTTACAACATTTTCTTTTAACGGCGCTCCTAGCGTCCTTGCTGATAAGGAGTGAAAAGGTATACTTCTGTTGAGAGCAAGAGCATTCATTTAGATCAATACCTTGTAAAACAGGACAACAGGACTAAGACCGATTAACATAAAAGATCATTGTTAAAGGAACAAATTTGGTGATAAAACTGCGAATTTGTAATTGCTACTTACTGATTGTTTGGGCGAACTGTTTTGAAGGTTGTGAGATACCATCAGTTCAGTTTAACTACCCTACCCTTAGGGTACAGGGAAACAAAACGGAAAATCAAATCACTAGAAAGAGAGCAATTCATGAGGGATTTTATACTAAGAAACATATTCTATCGAAGGATGAAAAACTTTTGGACGAAGTGTTGTTGACATGTTTTCCACACATTGTTTTAGGTTAGGGCTGCTGGCTGCTGTCTGGTTGAGTTGTGGTTGTAGTAGTTCGTTGATCGCCGCGCCGGCGCAGAGATACAACTATTCGTACTTGATGGATGTCCATATTGCAGCTGCAGAATTGAAGGCGCGATGGCGCGAGGCATGAACTCGCAATGCTCCATCGAGAATGCTGCCAATGAGAATGAGGTGCGGTGTCCCTCCTTCAGATCGGGGAGAAAAGTAAAAATACAAGACCCCATAACGTCTATCCTATCTTAGGCGTGTCGACATTCGATTTTTCCTTTTTTTCCAACTTGACGTCTGATTCTCTTTTTTAGGATGAATTTGTAGACATAAATCAAAAGCTACCTGGTATGCATCGGTACCATAACTCCCTCAGAAGAGATATTCGGGTCAATTTGACTTCACTATAAATTATAACTTTATTATTTGATAATTTTATTAATTGAGTAATTTGATATATGTAATTCAATCGAAAAATTATAACTAATCTTTCTCTCTATTATTTTTCGACTATATCGATGTGGATCGGCTCACGTTCATCTGTTTCGATAGATTCCTTTAAATCTCATATTCTTTTTGTTCGTCTTTTCATTGTTTCTTTTATATTCTTGTCCTTCCTCTTTTCTTATTCTTATTCTGCTTCTGCTTCTTTCTCTTTTTCTTATTTCTTCATTCTTCATTTATTATATTACTGGCGAAAAGTAAAGGAGCAAAAATCCCGTGACTTCAGCGACTTCAGTCACGGGATTTTCGCTCCTTTACTTTTCGCCAGGAATAGGATAAATGAAGTAAATAAACACGGCGGACGTTAGTACGGAAGAAAGTGCCTTCGAACAAATCAGCATGTTGAGTATGTGACATGTAGCTAAAATTGCATCAATTGAAAATGAAGGCAATTTTTAAAGTCTGAATTGAAATAATCAGCAAAAATTAAGTGAAGCGCATAACTTTATTAACAAATTCAATACTACTTCCATAGAATAAGTACTTTCGCATCTTTTACACACGATAAAACAAACACGTATGAATTCAAATATTTAAATTGCGTCATTGAGAAGAATAAAACGACTATTATATTTTGATCGGAGCGATTGAAGCGGCGCGCCGTCATCAACCTGTATCCTTTCACTCGCTCTATTTCCATAGTGTGATCGTTCCCTTTTGTGTTTTCTGTACTGGTGCTTCTAGGCTACATGAGCAACGCCGCCAGAGATAGGAGAGACATAATTCAGTCTCGTTTTTTAATTATTTTCCTAAATCGGAGCGATATCTCACTAGCATAGAGCGGAGCATTGCGAGTTCATGCCTCGCGCCATCGCGCCTTCAATTCTGCAGCTACAACACGGACATCCGTCAAGTACGAATAGTTGTATCTCTGCGCCGTCATCAACGCGTATCCTTTCACTCGCTCTATTTCCATAGTGTGATCGTTTCCTTTTGTATGTTCTGTACTGGTGCTTTTAGGCTACATGAGCAACGCCGCCAGAGATAGGAGAGACATAATTCAGTCTCGTTTTTTAATTATTTTCCTAAACCGGAGCGATATCTCACAAGCATAGAGCGGAGCATTGCGAGTTCATGCCTCGCGCCATCGCGCCTTCAATTCTGCAGCTGCAACACGGACACCCATCAAGTACGAATAGTTGTATTTCTGCGCCGTCATCAACGCGTATTCTTTCCCTTGCTTTGTTTCCATGTTGTGTTGGTTCTGTTTCTCTTACGTATAGTGGTGCTTTAAGAGTTACGTGAGCAATACAGCCGAAGATGGGAGAGACGTAATCGGGCCTTCCTTTTTAACTTCTCTCCCGAAACTGAGCGATACCTCGTTAACAACAAACACCGATTCTCTATCAAGCAATGGCGATTCTTACAAGAAGACAACACCATTTTTCTTCCGATTGAACCTGTTATAAATATCGATTATAAAATCGATTGGTTCACACATATTTAAATAAAGTAAAAACAGTGTTGCCAACTTGCAAGAATCGCCAGTGGCATTGCTATGGTGACGTGCTATTAGCGAAAATCTAAAAATCCGCTGGAGAATTTAACGCATGATAGAAATAACAACGCATACTGTCGTGCTACGGAAGAACGTAGTATGAACATTCGAGAGTTGCGAAATTTCCATCAATAAAATGTATATTTTTGAGGAAAGAAATCGGCGATAATGTCATGTTTTATAGAGCGTTAATTAGCGGGTTACCAACGAAGTCCATGAATATTTTATTGAGAAAATTAAGTACAACAAAAAGGACTCGCTGAAAGAAATATAACGGTCTCTTACAAAAAATTAGGTGAGAAGGTATCAGCTGAAACAATTATGCTTTAACATTCTCCCGCCGGTTGAGGTATCCTCAAGATCCACAGGTAAGGGCGCAATTTCCGAGACGGGAATAACGGAAATTCATGAATATTTTATTGAGAAAATTAAGTACAATAAAAAGGACCCGCTTGGAGAAATATAACTGTCTCATACTTAAAATTATTCGTTAGAAGGTATCAGCTGATACAATTATGATTTAACACGTCGTAATAATAATTTAAACACACAAACGTATTAAATTTACAGTTTCTGACTGGAATGACACTGGAATTCTCGACTCATCCAAACGTGACAATTTCGTTGGCTGGCATAATTTAATTTTACCCATGATAGTATAGGTTTACAGCTTCAGTCTCTCTAACGAAGCAAAAACAATCGACTCTTGAGACGATTTGATTGAATGTTAATTGACGGTTTTTACATCCGCAAGTAATTATAAATCGACGGCGAAATTACCAGACTACGTATCTCGGTTTGCGATGTTGTAGACTTCCTATCATACTTTATTTTTTAAATGGAGAACTACTCAACGTCCATTTTTGAAAACTTCCGTGTTTTCTCCTCTTTATGCGAGGAAAACTCTGTAAAATTTTCAAGAAATGATATCGATTTGTGCTCTTTCAAAAGAATAAAATGGGAACGGAGATTTTTAAACACCGCAAACGAAATACGTGGTCTGGTAGTTTCACCGTCGAAATGGATTCGAGATTCAGGCACTACGAATTTCGTGAACGCTCTCGAGCGTCCAAAAGTCGAGATTATCGCTTTGTCTCTTCGGTTCGACATTGAAGGATAGAAAAAATGCAGTTCCGTTTGCTGCCAATCAACACTCATAAAAAGCTGAAATCCAGTGGCGTGGCGTGCTTTCCGATATATCGATTGATCTGTCATTTAAATCAATGGAAAAGGATCGATTATCAAGGTGTTCGCAGCGAACACCTTGGTAATCGATTCTTTACTACAGCTTCAATGGAGAAATATCGATAATCGATCATTCACTCCACGCCACTGCTGAAATCGTCACCTTCCGGTCAAAGTATCACAACCGCCATGCAAAGTTTAGATATTTCTGCCGCCGTTTTATCTTTTCACAGAGAAGTTGTTCAACGAAGCTGTCTGAAAATTTCACTGAATTTTTTTGTGCTGCGGATAAAATTCAGTGAAATTTTTAAACAAATTCAACCAACAATTGGACCGCGTTAAACATGCAGAGAGGAACCAAGCCACATCAGCTATTGACAAATTTAATTGGCCAATTTCATTTTTTTTTTCATGAAAACCGTTGTGCGGACTCTCGTGCGAATTTCAGAGAATTTTCTCCATGGTACGAAGTCAATTCCTTTAAATTTTCAAAGGGATCCGCACAAACGTTGTCTGGTAAAAAATTAACGTGCCCAGTTCAAATTAGCAATAGCTGATGTGGCTTGGTTCCTTTCTGTTAGACGCGATCCAATTGCTCTGTAAAAAAATAAACTGGAGGTGGACATTTTTAAACGTCGCATGCATGGCGCTTGTGATACTTTGGCCGTAAGGTGACAAAATGATAATGATTAGGAAGCCAATTTTTAAATATCAGCTATTGTTTGCCGCCAAGACCATTCCGAGTTACGGTTGAGTTTTTCAAATTTCTTGTCGGTTTTGCACAGGCAGTAAGTTACGCTTCCCAAAGTATACAGTTGCATATAACCGCAACGCAGTGGCATTTGGACGTATTTCTATCAAACGGAACTATGTGCATTATGAAGTGAGCCCTGTTATGCGTGTATTCTTATGGGTCTCAAGGCTCATGTCTTAATTCACATAGTTCCGTTTCATATAAATACGTCCATTTATGTCTCCACTAAGTATTTAAGCTTCGCGATTCCTGGCTTGAAATCGCTAAGCCCTGCCTTGCCTCACATTACATGGATGAAATTGAAGTTACCTTTTTCGTCACGCGTGCCAATCATCAAAATGTTTTGCGGACTTTTGAAGAACATGCTACTACTTTTATAGTCACCAATTAACTTGTTTATATTCTCATGACAAATTTTTTCAATGCCATTGACAGTCTCTTCCCTACTGCATGCAACAATAAAAAGTTGGTCCACGAATAGAGCCTTAGGCATTGAAGCCGTTCCAGCGCACT